CATTGTATTAAAACATATGGAAACAGGTCTATAAATAGAGGTAGAATAGCAGAAAGTGAAAAGATGAGCACACTATACATGCTACTTATTCTATCTACATGTACAATAATGTAATATTAAACCTAAGAGATTAATATACATCTAATACAAGCCTGATATACAACAACACAATACACAGTGGCTGGCTCATTGACCTTTTAAAAAACTATTTACATAGATATTATCACTTGTATTCTGTCTACCATTGTCATATAATGCATATACCTGAAGAAAATAGCTGTAGGTCAAAATGTCATCTACATGTAATGTCTAGATAGTTTTTCCTGTATGCTAATGATGTAACAGATGGGAAGTCGATTAATGTACACGCAAGAACTGTGCATCCTTTGCACATAAATACATGCAGCTTGCATCTGTTGTTCTCAATAGTTGTGTTATTTTTCCTGCTTCAAGTGTACATATTATCTTCTAATTGCATATTTACCTTTGTTCTAAATATTTACTTAATAAAAGAAGTAGTTTAAGATTGTCTGAAAGTGTCACAATGTATAGAATTTTTCAAGTTTGTGTTCACATTGAATTAAACTGAATAATCCTTTAATTTACTTAAACCAATTCTCTTAAACTTTGCTTTTCCCATGCTCCTTACTTTGGCTTTTACTTGGTATCTCCAACTTACATTTGTACCTCTGACTCCACTATATTCCATACATAAGACAAAATTCTATATAGCATAAAATTATTGTTTATTACTGATTATTTGAAAAATACTAGAGAATCCTAGTCGAAATCATTGCTCAGTAAAAAACAGTTGTAATTGTATTCCATAGAATAGTTTCCTGTATATTTCCAGTTCAATTACTAAATACCATTGACATAATCCACTAGTATTTCCATGACCGGTGACATCCACAGTCCAGTTAAAAACAAATTATATACCAATAGCCCAAATGCCTTAATTGAGCTAGTATACTAAGCAAAAAATTGTCCTTTATCAATGAGTACTGAATAAAAAAAGGTCTTTATATAACCCCTTTAAATTCTACTTCCACCAGGGTTTTTATACATGTACAATGTATCTAGATTGAAATCTGTCCTGTATCATTGCAAGAACCTTAGATTCTACTTCCACCATGCACTTATCTAGATTTGAATCTATCCTGTATTGTAACTAATTTTGATTCTTCTTTCACGATGCACAAATCTAGATTGGAATCTGTCCTGTATCATTGCAACAACTTTTTTTTATTTAGATCCCATTTCCACAATGCGCTTATCTAAATTGGAATATGTCCTGTATGATTGGCAACAACTACCATCCAACTCATCATCATCATTATCCTCATAACCTTTTGATGTCTTTGTGTAATCATGATAGATTTATTTTTTGTTTCATTGGAAAATTTCAGGCTGATCTATTTGTAGGTCTATAATGTCAATGAATGCTTAGATTAGAAGTTATTAAATTAGTCAATTAGCAGCCTATCAAGTTCTCGTTTTCCCAGATTTGCACATATCACATACTAAAATGCTATGTTAGGATATTCTTAAAATGTCTTACTCATTATGAGTATTCAAGCTGCTGGGAGCCACAGCAAACCACCTTAGACTGCATTTTATCCAATCAAATTGTTTGCAAATGTAGTTGGCTCACTAACCAGGAGGAGCATGGTTCAATCCTGCTGTTGGGTGTGCTCTGGATTTTCTGTTGACTTAAGAAATATGATCAAAATGGTACTGTAATTTGCTTGGTCAATGTTAATTTTCTGTTCATTTACGAAGGTTGTGGGCCTATGGCATGACAACAATCAATGTAACATTAGGGTGTTTCACTTTTTTCGTAATTTCTAAGGTTTCTATACCCATCCCTGAAGTCGACTCGGGTTCAAACTTACGCCGTAATATTTTCATAATTTTCTTGCTAACATTCATTCTAAGGGCCAAAATGATGATCAGAACGACACTGATCTACCTTTGGTTGCAAAAAGCAGAAGGTAATGACAGAAGGTGAAGCGCCGATTGAGTATGTTCACCACACCGTGAGTCTGGCAGAACTATGGGTGAACCTGGAAATTGTATACAAAGTTTTTTTTAATGATTGACTTTATTAGCCTAGAGTGTACTCTTTCAGAATCTGCCGGGTGAACCTCAGTCACCCTTGAGCGTTTTGAGAAATTCAAGATGGCCTCCATACGACCTGCATCTCAAATAATCCCATATAACTCTCATCGTATTTAGTCTAGGATGATAATTTTGGTGTCTAACCGTATGCTTTTGGGGTCAAGAAATATACTAAAATTGTTCATTGTTATTGTGGGGTGATTAGATGATAATAAAATCCAAAATGCCAGACAATGTGGCCCTTTAACTTGTTAGCTGCAGTTGGGGGTGATTATTTCACCAAACCAAACTATATCTAGAGACAGACTATATGTTTTTGGACATAAACGCATAATGAGATCATCTCGGTGTATTACTTGACACCAGATTAAATACTAGATTAAATACTATTGGAGTTATAGGGGATTATTTGAAAAGGCAGCCGTCTTGGACACCATCTTGCATTTCACAAAACGCTCAGGGGTGACCTTGTTAATCTGACAAATTCTGAAAGAGGACACCCTAAGCTACTAAAATCAATCATAAAATAAACTTTGTAGACAGAATGGCGAATATACCCCACCGGAGCTTCACCTTCAGTCATTACCTTCCACCATTTTCAACCAAAGGTTGATCAGTGTCATTCTGAACATCATTTTGGCCCTGATAATGAGTTTTATGAGTGCAAAATTGTATTGTCTTTGAAATATGTTTTTCAATGTCATGAAAATAGATGATTTTGGGCACCATCTTGGATTTCTACCATCTTGGATTATTTAAGATGGTGGGAATGGACTCGCATCCTGAAAAGCTTTAAATAGACATGTTACAAGCCATACCCGACCTTTCTAAGCGATCTGTCAAGCTCAAAACGTCCAAAATGGCCACGATTATGGAAAAAATGGCCGCTATTTTGGGAAAGAAAATTCTGAAAATATTTTGTTGTAAGTTTGACCCCAAGTGGACTTTGGTGACAGGTAGAAACCTTAGAAATTACAAAAAAAGTTAAAAGTGAAACACTCTAATGTGACATTTTGCAAAACATGAATAGTAATTAAAATGAAGGAATATTGAAATCATGATAAAATGACAATGCTTATAGATGTTGTTGATAAAAAAAACCTCCCAGAAATGGTGAATCAGTGATGTTCGAGACAATGAATCGTTTTGGGATTATATGCAATTATCAATATGTAGATCAAAAAGAAAGTAGAATTGTTACTGTGTAGTCTGATAGATTTCTCCTTCGAGGATAGTCATGTCTTCAGATGATCAAAGCAGGCTTCGAATTGTCTATGTGATTTTGCTGACCATGATACTGTGTTCTGATTTCTATTGTTCCATATCACGTTATTTACAATTTATTGCTTGTAAAGAAATCTTTCAAGTTTATTACGCAGTGTATATGTTTGTAGTTTGTGTAATTTTTATGGCATCTCACGTCATTAATCTGAATCCATAGAAAAACTTTACAGATTGAGATCAATTCAGATATGCGCAATTGTTATGATATTGAACATTACTAGAAAATATTGATACCTATTGATATTTTCTTATGTACAATATTGTTATTTTGTTTTTATGCATCCATTAATCAATATGACCATAAAATGGTGGAAAAACACATTCCCATGAAACATTCTCCAAACAAAATCATTTTTAAATGCCCACATTTTCATGTGATTGTATTATGCCGTCGTCCGTGCGTCCGTTCACATTTTGTTGTTTATTCGATTTTGACCACAACTTCATGGATTAGGGTCCCTTGTACGAAAAATCAGGCATGTCGTACCGTAACGTCCTGGATTATGGCCCCAGGTTTGTGAAAAAAATTGCTTTTTTTTTTAGCTTTGTTCTCTGTCCATCTCTTGGAAAATGTGGGCATATCTTGCATGGCAAACACTTGTTGACAATACCTATTCTCCAATTCTTCATAAAATTTTCAGAAAAACGCAGTTATTATAAATCAATTTTTTTTATGTATTCTTTATTACTAAATGATCATGAAATATGTGATAACTTTAAAACAGTGTATGGAATAAGCATTTCAATACAATTTTAGATTGTGTATATTGTAGTATAGGTTAGACTGTACTTATTAAATAGCAGTAATTAAATGTTTATTGATGCTCACGTTATCAACAATTGAGTAATATCTTAGTCCTTAATTGGTTGTTCACAGTTAATATTAGGAGGATTTTTCTGAATATTTTATGTTGGTCATTATGGAAAGTGAGTAAAAGAAGAACACGCTTGTTTGTTAGTAAAATGATCACTATTAACAAAACATTTGATGTTATTCCCTAATTAATTAACGGAGGTCTGAAATGATTGACCATTCCTCATGAATTTTCTTTTCACACATAGAAACAAATGTAAATTTTTGGGGTATTTTCTTTCAGATCTAATTTTCTTTGTAATGCACAGTAAGATCTCTAGAATATAGTTTTAGCATATGTTCCTACATATACTCCCTGTCTATTGTCTTTGGTGAGCTTTGTTATAATCAAAATTGCTCACAAACTTCAGATAGTAAATGTATGAATAACAGATAAACAATAACTAGTAATCCACAAGGGCAACAAGACAATATCACAGACTTTGTAAGCCATATGTCTACATTTAAATAGAGTAATTTTCTTGGTATAGTAAAATCATAATAGTGCTGATAAAATGTTTGGTAGGTCTAGCTAAAATAGGAAATGAAGTTTTATAGTCTCATTGTGAAAAAAAAATCCTTTTCTAACTTCCATAATCTGTTTATAGCATGGAAAACTTTGACAAGAGGTGCATATGTATGGTTTGTGGCTATTGGTTATATGTATGTTACAAAATGATCGCATGCAACGGCATATAAAATATTATCTTTGATTCATTTATGTTTTTTTTTATATTTTCAGAAATATATGGTACCTCTTAAAACTCAGAGCAGCTTGGATGAGAATATAGTAGATAATATATTCTATATGATACCTGAAATATTAATACATCATTCAATATTCCTAGATTTTCTCGATAATGTCTGGAAATACTGGAACCCAGCTACCAGTACAGTTGGCAATATTATTACTAGTATTGTAAGTAGCATTTTTACTCTCATTAATCTCTTATACAGATTAAACCACAGACATTTTTATATGCATTTATCTTGAAAGTTTTCTACTAAAGTTTGACTGGAATCATCCACATTTTCTGTAATCTTATATTCAAATACCTCTGGGACTGGCATATTATCACAAATGAAGGCAATCTTTTTCTTCCTAAGTTGTGTGGAGAATTATAGCAAGTGATCAGTCAGTGTTAGTCAATAATACACAGTCGTTTAATGTTAATCTTTCAGATCAAAGGATAAAGTCATACTAACATGTATTCTTCAACAAAAATAAAAATGGTTGGGGTGCATAAGTTTAGATTTGTCGTTGATTCCATAAAGTAGTTAGATTTTAAAACGTTAAATACTGGCGCCCTAGGGGTTTAATATGATGTAGGTACGAATGAATACCAAAAGGTTTATATATATATGAGAGTCAAGGTTTGGACTACGCCTTGGAAATCGGAAGTGGGAGGAGACTAGTATGTGGACCGAGGTGAGATTGTCCGTGGCATTAACTGGATGGGTAGGCCTGTTCACCTTCGGTTATGTATCAATGTTGAATGAGCGACTTCTTATCAACCTGATCGGCTCTGGACCGGTTTGATTCTACGTATCTCTCGAAGCTGAGAGAATAAAGTGGTTGATTCTGTCCGTCTAGAGGCTACAGTTGATATTAAAATGACTTTAAATTTATACACAGTGTGTAAGGTCATGAGATGAAGAAGCCTATTAATTTTCAGCGATTTCTGATAATTACTGCCAGAGTTATGGCCCTTGATCACTTTGAAAAATCTTGTGGACGCTCTACAGGCTAAAATTAACATCCGATTGACTTTAAATTTATACACAGTGTTTAAGGTCATGAGACGAAGAACGGAAGAAGCCTGTTGATTTTCAATGATTTCCAATAATTACTGCCAGAGTTATGGCCCTTGATCACTTTGAAATAGCCTGTTGACGCTCTAGAGACTAAAGTTATTATTCGATTGACTTTAAATTTATACAGAGTGTTTAAGGTCATGAGACCAAGATGACTATTGATTTTCAACTATTTCCGATAATTACTGCCAGAGTTACGGCCCTTGACCTCTTTGAAAAACAGTGTAGAAGCTGTAGAGTTTAAAGTTACATGTATTGACTTTAATTTTATACACACTTTTTAAGTTCATGAGATGAAGAAGCCTGTCAATTTTCAACGATTTCCAATGATTATCGAAATTGATATGAAATGTTTTGTAGGCTAAATGTTAGAATAGGGCAGAACTAGAAGCCAAATGGGTTGTTACTTGTAATCAGATTTTAATGTGTTGTAAATGTTTTCATTTCTGACAAAAACAAAAAATATGCGACAAGCCTTGTTGACACCCCGGGCGACATAGTTGCTGTGACCGTATGTTTCGTTGCCTGGCAACCTATCTTTGTTTAGCTTGTTCTCTGTCCATCTCTTGCAAAATGTGGGTGTATCTTGCCTGGCAAGGCTGTTTTCTTCCTCCCCTGCTCCATATTAACAACAATAACACTTCTAGTGGTATGCAGGGCTGCCGACAACCAGTATCGCAGCGCAATTTGCGATACATATTTTGTCCGTTGCTAATCAAAAATTAAAATCTAACGTTTTTGATTCGCAGTAACTGCGAATCAATAATATGCCTGTCATTTTGGATATTGACACAAAGATTTATCCACATTTCTCAACACTTTCAACGCGTATAAAATATCAAATAAATTTTATAAACAAAACGTAATTCTCCGTGTGACATTTTCTTCTCGAACTACCCAGACTCAATTCATGATACTATATAATACAGGGACATAACTCTATGAATCGGGACTATTAAACCGGAAATAGGGAATCAAGTAGTACCACTCACGTTGCGAGACATGTCAATTTCGAGTAATGATATCAGTATTCAATTTGAAAAAAAATAAATTCAGTGTATCCCCCACGTATTGTAAATAAAATATAAAAAATAAATACGTGTAAACGTATTGTAAAGTGAGAAATCAAAGTAAGAATTCCCGTAAACTATTATTGTTTATATCACGTGCGTCTAGTTAATCGAGATTATTCGTAAAGTACCGCGTGCTTCCGATTGAACAAAAATAATAACACACGATAAAAAGCAGACGAAATTGTTTTCTAACGAAGAAATAAGAAGCCACTGCCAAGAATTGGCTTCAGACATAAGGCCTAACAAAAGTCTACATTCATTCAGAAATGTTCACAGCTAGCTGTAGAAGTGCTAACATTCTAAAAAAATCTTAAGAATGAAATCTAATCATTTGCTATCAATTAAAATTAAAATAATCTTGTTATTTAGGTGTTTTATGTTGATTTGAAACTGAAAAACTGCTAATCAATTTTTAAATTTGCTAATCAAATTTGGCAAAATTGGACTTTTTGATTAGCAGTGCTGCTAATCATCTGTGAAAAATTACCGACAGCCCTGGTGGTATGCAGTGTCAACCCACCTGCCTTTAATTATGTATCAACTATATACATTATGTACATCCAAAACATTATGATATACAATCATTACTTAAACATTACTCTATCTCTACACCTTTTCTCCATCACCGACAGTCACACCAGCCAGAAAAATAAAACCCTAAAAAACCATTGGAAAAAATTAAGGAATCTGTGTCCGTCTTCAAGCAATAACTGTCTCCAGAGCTACACACGGACATGTATAGTTAAATATTTAACAATATAATATAGTAATTCCAGTACAAAATTGATAAGTAAAATATCACAATCATCACATTAAATATATATTCTGACATACTGAATCATTATTCTTATCCCCCCAAAAAACTCGATCTGTTAATGGCGATTGATCTGAATGAGACTGTAACCTATTCACTGGCAAATAGTTCTTCATAATACCTTATATCACTACATAAAGGAGGGAAATTATTTCCCTTCTAAATTGGTTCCCTTAACCGCAGGAAAATAGATTTACCTAAGCAGAATATGTTGACATTGTTTATTTGACATTCATGCTTCCAAAATTTAGATGAATTTAACAAAAACACCTACAAATTTTATATTATGTGTAAGCTCTTTTACTACAAAATAAATGGAACAATAATATATGAACCTTCAAAAGTATATCATGTCATTTAGACATCCTAGTAAAAAAAACTTTAGCAGTTTAATATGATTACAAGTTTTGAATCTACTAAATTGGTTTAACATACCGTGAATAATTTAAGATAATTTATGTACATCTAATTACTTTTGTCTTGAAGAATGTGCTTGTCAAGGTCAGGTGCTGTTAACTTTGTTATTCAAAAAGCTCAATCTTGATTTACTGGTATTGGTTATTTGTTTTGGAATGCCTGGCCTTATTCTTATTACAGGTTTATTCTTTTTAAAAGATATTTCTTTGGCTTTTTTAAATTAAGAGCTTGGTAACTTTAGATACCTGTTTCAAGACAGGGCGCTATCTGGTAAAGATATGTAGGTTGATGTTTTGGGCAATGAAGCTGTTCTTCTCGAGCAAAAATGATACAGACCCCCGGGCCCCCCACCAACCCCTCACAGGAAAATCGACCCAAACGCTTATGCTTGCAGTTGACATATACATGCATGCACTGACAAAAATAAAAATTTTTGATTTGATGTACAGAAATATTACTACATATTGTAGAATTGATAGCAGTTTTATGATTATTATAACAATTATTTTTTATATGCCCAGAATAAAATGTGATCGTATATATATATATATATATATATATATTCCTCACCCATATCAGTCTGTCAATTGGTCCGTCATCCACATTTGATTATGGATGCTAAAAGACAAGTTCCGATAATTACTATTGGAGTTATCACACTTGATAATTTGCAAAACCTTGTAGACGCTTTAATTGTGGCTTAAGTTATCATCTGATTGACTTAAAATTTATACGAGGTGAAGAAGTCTATTGATTATCAATGATTTACAATAACGCAACTGCTAAAGTAATCAGTATATGTTTTGTTTATGTTACTTTGATGAAGAACTAGAAACCTGTTAAATTTTAATTATTTCTGATAATTGCTTCATGAGATGATTGTTACGTTTGATTAGTTTATAGTATATTTTGAATACTCCCAATAAATATTCATCAACCTTTGTGGACTGTTTGGACTTATCTTTTGTTCCCTGACAACCTGTCTTTAATGCATTTGAAAATGAATGCACATATATTGTTATATAAAGATATTTGATCATACCTAATGAGAAATTATCTCAAATATGATAAAACCATTAGTTAATAAAAACTTTGTTCAATTTAGTGGGAGAAAACATGTCAAAACTTTCTAAACATATATCTCAAGATTAAAAAAAAAAAAGAAGATATTACAGAAAACCAGTGATAAATGTGTTATTATGAATGTTGGGTATGATATAATGACTTAAAAACATGATGTTTAAAGCTATAATATTTATGGTTGTTTTCTCTTTCAGTTTTCGAAGCAGACGGTTTTAGAGAGTTACTTATCTTTTGTTGAGAATTATAAAACTTCTGGTAAAGCTTTTGAACATGCTTTACAGACAAAGTCTTCAGTACAGAAGTTTGTTGAGGTAAGTTGTGTGTTTTATTTCTGTCTGTAATAAAGGGACATTTGATTTACTTTAGAGGTGTTTCAATCTGATTAAAACACAGATCCTATTTCGTTTCGTTTTTTATAGTTCAAAATTTCGTTTTACTTGTCTTACTACACTAGGATCTGGAAGAGTAGTTATATACGGTAAATGGCGCTTTGGTTGAAGTGACGGATAAGCCAATGAAGCAGTCTGTTACAGAGACTTCTTGGTATGCCATGCACGGAACTGTGGGTAAACCACTAGAAACGCCAATGCTGATTGATTAATCAGTGTCTGACGTCATAGGGTCAAAAACCGCTCGAATGACCCCTGACATGACCTTCAAGTACAACTTGTCAGATCTTCATGCAGTTTAGGCCCTCGAAAGTATAAAAAAACGAAACAAATTATAGATTTGTATTTTAATCAGATTGGAGGGTTTTTTTTACTAGTTTTAGTTTGTTTTGCATACAATGTCAAAAGTCATATAGATATTTCTGCTCTTTTTACATTTGGTTGAGGTGAAAAAATGACCACTATGTATATAAAGTATAGAATGCAGAATGCATCGTTAACTTGTGGATCAAGACAATGTTTCCCATAAACCATTTTGTGTACTGTATAAATTAAAAGCAAGAGAGCTAGTAACCATACAAAACTAGCGTTATTTTATCCAGCTCGATATTTGTTAATTAGTGCAGTGGAGACAATTTGGGCTTCAGTGATCAAGACTAAAATCTCACTAGAATAAAGTAATTTCTACTTGTACAGATGTCTCTTTATTACATTATAAAACTTGCATATATGTATATTTTAAATGAGTGTATGTATATTTAAACAAGACATATAAACAGCTAAAAGAGACATATGGCTTTTATTATATTAAGTAAATGCAGGTATGGTCTCCTTGTGGTTTATTTATTTTGCTTCCTACGTTTAAAATCAAATTCATACTGGTATTGTTTGTTTCAAGAAAGGCTGGAAAGACAGATTTCTTTTTTTATATAATAAAAAAAACCAAGGACTAAATTGAAAGAGCACATGAACATATCTAGATTATTTTTTATTAAAGACATTTTATTGATGCAAATGGAAATGATAATGAATTATTCAAAATTTCTGGAGAATAAAGAACAATGAAAATTTCATTAAAAAAAAGCCATTTACTTTGGCAAATTTTTCATTGGGATCAATACAGTAAACTTGCCCTATGTGGATTCAGATATTTCTGGAAATTTGTAAACAGTAGGATTCGGATCAAAAGGTTCTGGTAATATATCAGTGTGGAGACTGATTTTACAATAAAACTACAGGTGCAGTCTCTCTTTTCAATTCCTATTGCAGCTCCACCAGACTAGTCCTTATTAACTCCGACATTAATTCTAGTCTTTTTAATCCCAACCCTTTTGGTTCAGATAATTAGCTTTAGGTAAAAACAAGAGTATTTCTAATATCTGGGACTTATCTAAATTCAAATCAGAACTGTGCCCTGTTTCTCGAAATCTTAACTAAAGATAAAATTCAAATTTTAGTAGATACTTCAATTTTCATTGGCTAAGCACTAAAATCAATCTAATATCCAATCAAATTACTAAAATTTGGATTTTATCTTAGTTAAAATTCTGTGAAACAGGCCCCAGAACTGTAGGACGTTAAATCTCATTTCATTTCGTTTTCTTAAGAAAATTTTGGTTTTCGTAAGTAAACAATAAGATATTGCTAATATGATATATCAGCTCATCTTTTAAAAAAGATACTTATGTACATTATATTGTTTAGACTACAATCACAGACATAGTTAACTATATATATAACTAGTGTACTAAGTATAGCAACTCCTTTCTACTATTAGAAATACCATATAGTTTTTTTTTACTCCGCAATCGTTAAAGTTATATGTGGAGTTTTTATTAATCTTCCCACTATATTGCAAGCACCTGAATGTGTGTGATGAAGTAAATTAGCAGTAATAAACTAAAGGTATTGAGTACAGAATGTGAACTTTATTCAACCACTGTTTGACGTTTTACCAAGTTTTGGGGGGAACTACTTTACAAACTTGTTACACCATAATAGGATGGTCATGATTGATTTTTCTTTTTTAATCTATGTCAACCAATCCTTTCTTTACATACTTCTACTTCTTGTCCAAATAAGAAGATGCCAATAAATGATATATGACAAATTTACAAACTGTACTGGAAAACTTTTAGTTTTTCTATTTATATTCTTTGACACAAGTAATGCCACCAATATATTATTCAAGACAAAGTTCAAATTTTAGATTAAGGTGCCAACATTTTTCTTTGAATAATGATGCCAAAGCTTCATAAAAACAGTTAATCGTTACGCATAGAGTACCTGTTCTGCATGCTGTTAATTTAAAAACATAATGCACTCCCAAAAAGATAATTTGCACATTAGAAAAATTTATTTATGTAAGATTTTGTTTAAAAATTGTATATAACCAAGTAACGAAGAAAAAATATAGTTTATAATTGAAATGTTTTTCAGAACTGTCAGAGAGAAAGTGGTATTAAATTATCTATGAAAGACCTGATTGTTCGTCCTATACAACGTATACCAAGATATGAATTACTTCTTCAAGTAAGTCTTCGATTCCTGAAATATAGGTTTATCACCAAAAGATCTTGGTTCCTCTCTATATTGGCATGTATCGGATCGTAACTTCATGGATTATGGCCCTAGATTTGATGAAAAATCATGTTTTTAGATTGTGGACACTCGAGAGGTCAGAATTTTATTCGTTTTTGATGCAACTTGAAATATAGGTTTATCGCCAAACGATCTTAGTTCCTTTCGATATTCGCGCATATCAGACTGCAACTTCCTGGATTATGGCCCTTGAATCTACGACACAGTCACGTTTTTTAAGCTTGTGGTCCCTCTAGAGGTCACAAACTGTTCAAATATATCGTAAAAATTTCGTAAAAATCCAACTGAAACTGCCAGACTAAATGGCCGCTCCTTGTACACAATCTAAAAGTATGTAATACCAAGTTTGTGGATCCTCTAGAAGTCACAGTTTCATCCGATCTTGATGAAACTTAAAATGTATGTTTATATTCCAAAGATCTCGGTTCTTGTCGATATTAGCGAATATTGGACCGTAACTCCTGGGGTTATTGCCCCTAAATTGTATGAAAAATCACTTTTGTTTAGCTTGTGGAACCTCTAGAGGTCACAATTTTTATCTGATTTAAAAAAATTGTTTAAATATATCACCCATACACACTAAGGATGGTTGAGTTCAAAACTCATGAATATCCATCTGTCCATCTCTTGCAAATGGCAGAATTCTTATCCATAGTTTCCCATCGTGAACATATGCATTTTAGTTATATGACTCCTGTCTTGTTACATCTTCTACATATATTATAATCTTGTCAGTATAGTATTATTATTTTTGTCTGTCTGTCTGTCCATTGACAATTTTTCAAGAAACCTCTACATATTGTTCATCTAGTCCTAAGAAATTCAGAGTTATACAACAGCTTTTTACAGTCTTACCATCCATATCACAATAGTGTGTTTATGATTCTGTATTTTTTATTATTATTATTGATTCCAGCGTTTAATCAGCAGTACACCATTAGATCATCCAGATTACCCTTTACTGGAGAAAGCTGAGAAAAGGATGCATGATCTGGCCTTGAAGATTGGCTCTGTTAATGATAGTCAACACGAAGAAGACATGCAAGAAACTCTTAAAAAACTAGAACTCCTTCTCATTACAGATGTAAATATACTATTTGTTATATTACATGATTAAACTTCCTGAATATTTGTCGAAAATTCATCTTATTTAACTTGAAATTGGATGTCTCAGCTAAATCTGCCTATACTTCAGGTCTTTATTTTGGCTTCATTTAAACATTTATTCACATGGCAAGCCTATAATCAACTCTCTAAACTGTCAGATGACCGAGATTTAAATAGATTAGAACACCTCGAGATTTGAAAATTTAGCAATAAAAAGGATAATTTAGACTACAATAATAAATAATCTACACAACATCTTCAAACACTATTTACTTCACTTAGAATAAAGTAATTTAAAAGACATTTTCAATATATTCATTTTTCATTACATAATGAAAAGAGGAACCAATGACATATATGAATATTAACATATACACATTTATATATATATATATACGTCATTGAGTGGAACTGAACACTAGACAGTATGTAAACATGGGAAACGCTATTGACAATCATGAACGACACCCGATAATTGATTGTTAATTTATAATTCCGCAATGATATCAAGAATTTTGTTGTCAGTCTGTCATTTTTTGCGATCAAAATGCCTAAGTATCTTTCTCAAGAACTGTGAGGGAGATGACTGAAAGTATTATCTGTGGAGAGATTGAGGGCGCAGACTTCGATTTAAATCGCCAACAGATTTGAAAACATTTTTCCAGGAATTAATCTAGATGAAGTCATGGATTTATTTGGCCGTTATTTCAAAATCTCCCGCATCAATTTTTTTAAAAGGATTGTCTGAGAACCAGAATATTTTTTTGGTGTGGCCTAATAAAGATTTATGTATTTGATAAAGTCATATTTATTTAATAAAGATATATTCTTTAGACCTTGGACTGTGGACATTGAAGCTCCTGCTTTTGTACATTCAGCCATAGGATTCCTTGTTATTTTATGTATTGTAGTGTAAAATTAGATTTATTTGTTCGGTAGAAATATTGTATTTTCAGTTAAAACTTAAGTTTTGAGATTTCAATATATCAAGGGTTCCCAGTCTGGGGTAACCAGGGTATAAATTTACTGATTTGGGATTTGGACAAATGATTAATTGATTGATGTGTTCTCATTGACTGTGATTAGATCTTGTATATACCGTTATCTTTTCATCATCTGTAGTTCATACATAAGGGAAATAGCATTGTTTTATGCTATTATCCTTATTGTTATTTGAACTTAGAAATGATATATTAAAAACAGTATTTAAATCAACCATTGTCAGTTGCATTATAATGGAGAAGTGTGAGCTTACATTACTGAACAAAACAGGGTGGGGGTAAATTATTTTTGAAATGTTTCCTGGGGTAAATGGGGCGAGAAAGTTTTGTAACTGCTGCAATAGATGATATAACCTTGAAGAAACTTATCTTTAAGAAACATCAACTCTTTTTTATGTTTTCAGTTGGCAGTACCAGATCGAGCCTATTTACGACATGACATGGTGCAAATAATAGTAAGTCGTTCTTGTATGTAATTCTAATAAAGAAAACCAACTGTAGGAATCAATCCAAGAATCATGAAAAAATTAAATTGCCAGCTTGAGTTTTTAGAATGAGATATTTCTGTTCTAAAGAGAATATATTCCTATTTGAAAATAAGAGTTATATGATATCGTTTAAAAATGAAAAACGTAGGAGTTAGTGATAAAAATTGATGACTTGTTGTACTTTATCATTTGTAATTGAAATTCTACGTGCAATTTGTAACATATTCTGTTTATATTATCACCTATAGAAAATATCCTGCTGAGATTTGGCCTTTCAACCACTAGTTGCTCAATGTGAAATTCATTCAATCTTTCATAAACTTCACTTATTTTTTTAAATGTTCATCTTTCAGAATAAAAAGGACCAATGTTGTATCTGGCTTTTTTCGGACCTCATTATCGTTAGCAGTATGAAACGGAAAAGTGGCCCTGTTCCTCGCAAAGTTTCAATCATACTGTGAGTATATGTCATTATAATTCTAAAGTTAATTGTATTCAAAGAAAAAGAATTAGGTTTGTACCCTAGTGAACAGTTGCTTATTTCTGAAGAAAAAAACCCAACATACAATGGCCTATCTCTACTGGGGAGTTGTGTGACTGGGTGGTCTTGATCATAAGGCCTGTTTTTTTTATGCAATACAAGGACTAGTGTCACCTGCCTAATTTTGTGAGGTTTTCCATTCCCCCCTTTTTCCTTCCATTTCTAAAAACCTGTGTGCAAGTGATTTTTCAAAATAAAAAATACTAGGATAGTCCATTTTATTTCAGCATTTCTTCTATTTAAGTCAAGTGCCTTGCTCATGATGTAGAGATCAGCTCTTCACAATTTTTTTTTTTTTTGGCCATGATAAAATTTTTCAATAATGCTGGAAGTGTACCATATCATATCATTTCTTTATTTTTTCAGTAAAACTCCTGCAGGTCAAGATTTTGCAGAAAATACCAAACATAAAGTATGGCTTCGTATTGGACTTGATGATATTGAAATTGTTAAAAGTAAGATATTTGAAAATAGAATAATCTGATTAAAATACATATATATGAATTTGTTGAAAATTAGAACACACCATTACGATTACAGTGTTTGTATTTAATAATTCAGAATGTCAACTTCTGTATCTGATGAAAACATGACTGTAGAATGCATGTGATGGTACAAATGTGTATCTTGATTTTGGTTTTGTTGTACAACCGAGTTTAATAACTTTTTTAATATAATGAATTATTATTGAATAAATATGAAATGTTTTACAGCTCAAGGCACAATACAACGTAAACCAACAATAGATCGTGATCTAATAGAAGAAGATATAAATCTTATTAATCAGATATCTGATTTATCTACAAGACTCTCCGTATCACATTCAGTAAGTTACTATCTCCACATCTACAACATAGACCATCATTAGGGGTCTATATTTTTATTCAGTTTTAGAAAGACAATGTATAGTTAAACCATGAATAAGGAGCATGAAAAATGTATTAAACTTACATCAGACAGACCGCTCAGTCTGTTGATCTAAAATTTCCATGTGGACGGATAACTACTTCGCAAATTATCATATTTACATTAGAAATTACTGCAGACTGGATTATCAATTCCTGCTCTGATTTAATTTATTTTTGTGTTGGAAGTGTTTTCACTAATTTTAATTGTAGACATATTCAGTATTAAATTAAGAGCTGAAATAATTACACACATATAATACTGATTTATTTTAATTGTAGGGTTTGGATGATGCTTTACGTGAGGTATCTTCTCTATTAAATAAACAGCTAACAGATTCGCAACTTCGCAGTCCACAAACAGAATCAAATAAACTAGAACTACTTGTTACAGCACAGTAAGTAAATAAACTTTTGTCATTCTTCCAAAACAATGTTAGCCACTGAAGGTGTAGAAGCATATAATAAATTAGTGGAAGAGAGAATTTCCGTTCCATCCTTTTAAGTCCCGTAATGCCCAAACCCTAATTTTATGTGAACATTGATACCATTACATAGCTCTAACATAGTAAAGATCGGGAAAATAGTCTTGTGCTCGTTGATATAAGTGTAGAAATTAACAAAAGCAGAGGTGGCCTAAAATGCTTTGCACATTTAAAAAGTTGTTGCCTGCACTTGCATGGCAAGCAGTAACTTTAAATGCGAGGAAACAGAATTTATGTGGAGGCTTTGTTTCAACATAAGGGAAGAAATCGTGATTCCAAATAATCTTCTCAATGGTGAAGTCCTTTTGTAGAAAAAAAGTCATTTTTCTTGGTTAAATAAATTTTAAAATTGAGTGTGATGATTGTTCACATAGCTATTTCTCTTGTCAGAGAAATCTTTTGTAGATTCAGGAAAAAGTTGTTTTTTTTTTGGGGGGTGGGGGTTGTTTTTTTTTAAATAAAAATTAGAAATCATCAGAATTTGTTGTGATTGACTTAAGTTGATGTTGTGCAATATTGGGTCATTATTATTTGTGTCCCTGATACCATGTGGATATATACTGCCAATTTAAAGATTTTTATACGCCCACATTTTCATGTGGACATATATTGTCGTCGCCCCCGTCCGTCCACAATTGTTTGTGAACAGTCTACAGGTCACAATTTTTATCCGATTTCAATGAAACTTGAAATATAGGTTTATCACCCTAAGATCTCGGTTCCTTTTGATATTGGCATGTATCGGACTGTAACTTCATGGATTATGGCCCCTGATTGTACGAAAAATGGTATATCAAGGTTGTTGACCCTATAGAGGTCACAATTTTTGTAATGTAATGTAAGTTTATAACCCAAATATCTCGGTTCCTTCCGATATTCACACATATCGGACCGTACCTTCCTGAATTATGGCCCCTGATTGTACAAAAAATTGCGTTTTTAGCTTGTGGACCCTATAGAGGTCATAATTTTTATCTGATTTAAAAAAACGTATTATTATATCACCGTTACACCCTAAGGACGGCTGAGTTCAAATTTCGTGAAAATCGGCGAAAAACTGACAGACAAAATGGCCGCCCCTCATTCTCAAATAGCGTAAAAATATGGTATATCAAGGTTGTGGACCCTATAGAGGTCACAATTTTTATCCGATTTTGTTGAAACTTGTAATGTAAGTTTATAACCCATAGATCGTGGTTCCTTTCGATATTCGCGCATATCGGACCGTAACTTCCTGAATTATGGCCCTTGATTGTACGAAAAATCACGTTTTTAGCTTGTTGACCCTATAGAGGTCATAATTTTTATCCTATTTTGATGAAACTTGAAATGTAAGTTTATAACCCAAAGATCTTGGTTCCTTTCGATATTCGCGCATATCGGAACGTAACGTCCTGAATTATGGCCCCTGATAGTACGAAAAATCACGTTTTTAGCTTGTGGACCCTATAGAGGTCATAATTTTTATCCGATTTAAAAAAAACCTTATTATTATATCACCGTTACACCCTAAGGACGACTGAGTTCGAATTTCGTGAAAATCGGCCCAAAACTGACAGACAAAATGGCCACCCTTCGTTCTCAAATAGTGTAAAAATATGGTATTTCAAGGTTGTGGCTCCTAAAGAGGTCACGATTTTTTTATCCGATTTTGTTGAAACTAGATATGTAAGTTTATAACCCAAAGATCTCGGATCCTTTCGATATTCGCGCATATCGGACCGTAACTTCCTGAATTATGGCCCCTGATTGTACGAAAAATCACTTTCTTTTTAGCTTGTTCTCTATCCATCTCTCGAAAATGTGGGCGTATTCTGCCTGACAGCCGCTGGTTTTAAAGAAGAAAAACTTGCTGTGAAACTTTCAGGCATTACATTTGAAAACTTAGGAGGACATCAGTTATAATATACATACAGACTTATTGTGAATAACCTTAAATATGCTGCATGGACAATAGCTGACGGAGAGCATATATTTAGTTAACTGACAACTTATACTTTTTTTTTTCAATTCCAATAGTTGAGATTCATTCTTCCCCCAAGACTATAAGTCAAAACACCTTTATTTGTTACTGTTATTTGATTTGAAGCTATATGCCACTACCTCTAGGATTTTACTCTTGTTTAATACTTTTAACTTTTCTTTGATAAAGTTTGTTTCTATTATTTAAACTTTGAACTTCACACGTGTTCAAACTGGGCGGAGATTGATTGTACTTGTGGCATCTTGTATGTTTCTAAAGGTCAAATGTGTTCTCCATTTTATATGCTTTCAATCTTTGTGATTTATTTAAAAGTTTTCATGCCATTATGTAGTAATGTGAATGATATTAGGAAATATTAGTTTTAAATGAAAATTTACATACAAGTTGTAAATTATGTACAAAATGGTATTTTAAAAAGTTATATATTTAAATTAGATTGATATATTTTGAGAATTAATTCTAAGAAAAATGTGACCAGCTCTGACTAATAAATAAGATGTGTTGGCAGATCTGTTATTTGCGATACAGCCCAAAACATAAAACAAACAGCAGATTTTTATTCAGTATTGCTAGCAATCACTGCTCACAATCTCTTCTCTTCTTGTGTACATTACTTTTGTCCCTGGAATCAAGCGTTCATGACCTTAACTTGATGAAATCTGCTGAAAACCATAGGGTTGTCCTAGAAATAGTTGAACTTGGTTTACCAACATATTTTTCTTTGAAAATGACATTATTTTCACAAATGCATAAAATTGACTGTTTGTTCGTTGCAAGATGATAAACTGATTGTTTAAATTGATGATAAACTGATTGATTAAATTGTTGTTAAATTGATTTGTTCATTTAATGATTAACTGATTGTTTAAATTAAGGAGAAAATGATTATTTGAAATGATGATGAAATGTTTTATTTACAGAGAGGGTATTCTACATCTTGTTATCAGTTTCATATCGGGAGAAAAGAGAGCATTATGGGAGAATAGTTTCTACGAGGCTAAAAATAAACTTTGTAAGTATCGGTTATATTTTCCATTGTACGTTTATTAGTCAAAAGGTCATACTGTTAAATTGGAGGACATAAGACTCATTTAAATTATAAATTGATTCCAAATTAAACTTTTGTTATATTGATCTAGTTTGATTAATGATACACCCTTTTGTTATTAAATGGAACATTGAAACTTGAATAAAATAACTAATATTTGAATTTGAAATTAATGATTTCCTTAAGAATATAGCAATTTTTCTATTATTGCTTTATTTCAGCTCTGCTCTCTGATAAAAGAGCACCAGAATTTTTACAACCGTTACAAATAACTAAAACAAGGGCTGGAATGCAGGTAAGATTATTATGGTGATGATGTCAATAAAAATAATTTTAGATACTACCTTAACTAAAGGCGTTAAGTCCTCTAAAATGCACATTTTAAACCTAGCACTGTAAGTTTTGTACATAAGATAAGATATGGGGTATAAACTATAAACACCCCAAAAAATACCTTACCAACTATGTTCCAAACTTGGTCCAAAAACATGATAATAAAGAGTGCTGATGACAACAAAAGTCAAATTTTCTCAATTATGCCTGCATGGATTTTCATCAGATTTGGTGTGAACAATGCTAAATGCAAGTCCAAGAAACCTACAGGTTTCTTTGCACATTGTGAACGCTCTAACATCAAAAGTTTTCTGCTGATCTGTTGTATGAAATTTATATGCATCATTTAAATTAGTGGAAAAAAAAGAATCCTATTAAATTTCAGCAAGTTCTGTTTATTACGTCTAGAGTTATGGTCCTTTTTTCACTTTCTTGGACATTATGCACGCTCTGACGCCAAAAGTTACCATCCGATCTTTGTGAAATTTATATGCATTATTTAAATTAGTAACACGAAGAAGCCTATTGAATTTCAGCAATTTCTGTCAATTACTTCTAGATTTATGGCTCTTGTTTTACTTTGTGAACCTTGTGAACGTTTGAATGATAAAAGTTATCATCTGATCTGTATGAAATTTATATGCATTATTTAAATTAGTAAAACGAAAAAGCCTGTCAAATTTTAACAATTTCTGTAAATTAAATCTAAAGTTAATGCCCTTGTTTCAGTTTGTAGAACCTTGTGAACCCCCAAATGCCGAAAATTATAATCCGATATATATGAAATTGTCCTGTAAATGCCCCCAATTACCTACAAAAGAATAAATATGCGAAAACCTTGTCGACCACTCAGATGATTTAGCATCTGTGGGTGTATGTTTTGACATAAATTGTTTGTGTCGTCGCATAGTGTGCGCCAAGCTTTAGAACCAAATTTGATATACAGTGGACATTTGAATACTACTGCATTCTGTGAAATCTGTCATCATTTCATGTCCTGATTTACTTCCTTATTACTTCAAACATAAAGTTTTAAGTAATCGATTAGCGGTCCCGTTACATAATTTGCGTACAAATAACATTGGATAATTCGGCCTTCAATCAGTGGATGTTAACCGACAAGCAATCACCAATCAATTATCTGTGAACATAAAACATGTGTCTATCTTTGCTTGTTTCCGTCTCAAGGGACAGAACTCGAAGATTGGTTGAGAATTGTGGACAAAACTTATATTATGTGTATGAAGATGGGGGAGGGGAGAATATGTTGAGATAGTGGACAAAAGGCAAATGTTTATGAATGAATTATAAAAGAGGACAAATGTATACTGATTTGAAGTTTACTATTTCTACCGGGAAAGACTGGTTTCAGTTGTAGCTTGAGGATATTCGCGAACTGTGGATAGTCTACTCTTGATACTTGTGCACTTTAGTAGTTAGTCTCACAAATTATTAACAACTGAGTTTTAAATATAAAAGTTTTTCTCGGTGTTTTGAGTGGATCTGTGTAAATATTTTTCGCTCCTTTCTCTTCCATGTGCTCAAGGTCAAAGGGAAGTCACTCTCCCTCACCGGCAAGTAACTCTTGCTAGTTGTACTTGCTTTAATTAAACTGTGGTTTCGAAAAATATCACTCAAGCTTCAACATTGCTGGTTACCTTGATCATTTTATAATAGCTTGGTATTTGATTTGAGTTACTCACTTCAAATACAGCAACATTATATATAAATTGCTGAGATGAAGAATCACTATCATTATAATGTGTGATTGTCCTGCAAAGTGTGCTTGTACGGATTTGATATTGGATGTCAAGCAGCAAATTATAGCAGATTTTGAGAAAGTTCCATGACCTAGCCATTAGGTATTCAATTGGCTGTACTACAGTAGCCGACATTTTAAAGCGAAAATATGAATTCAAACAGAGTGATGTATGGGCGTGAACAAACACAACCTGTCAGTCAATTCGTCGGCCAATCGTAAGGCTTGGATGACAAGTGCTATTTAGTCAACTTTAAATGATTATATAGATTCAAATAGTGTTATCCTTATAAGACATATAGAAATAGATTTCACTAAAAATAAAACACACTTATATGGATATACTACTTCTGAATTTATTAACATGCTACGTTTCGATACACATACAGATATCGTTTTAGTGTTATTTGAAGGTACAATAATACTTCTGGTATAATTGAGGCAATTGAGTTTTACGACCTGCTATCTAATTCGGCATATTTTATTGACCCTGTACGATGTCGGAATTGACAGATTCCACTGTACATTGTTGCAGCTAAATATTTTAAATTTGATTATAGAGCTATTAAAATAAATTTCATCATATTAGTAATCTGATCAATGACCTATTGAAATAAATGACATCGTTTTATTGTAGTTTTCGTGTGCAGCACCTATAGATGGATTAAGTAATAGTGGTTTTCGTGATGTATGGGTGTGTAATAGTGATGGTTATGTGGGACATATGTGTTTGTTAAGTTTACAGCCTGAACCTATAGTGACATTAAATACCCCTGTGCCTGGTTGTAATGCCAGAATATTGTGTATATCCTCTGTGCCTGCTTATATTGGGGCCTTCCGAAGGTAAGCATTCTCTATAAACTATTTTTTTATTCTTGTTCTTATGTGTTCCTTATCCGTCAGATTTAAGATTTAGTGGCATAAGTCACAAAACTTAATGTGAAGTGTCCAATTTTAAGTATATGTAAGTCGTAAATTTCAATGATTTCCGATAATTATTGGCAGAAATTTTGCCCTTGTTCACTCTGTAAATTATTGTGGACTCTCTTGCGTTTATTGATAATCAATTATTTCTGATAATTACATTCAGAGTTATTACCCTTTATCACTTTGAATAATCTTTATGTAGCTTTAGCAAATAAATTTATCATCTGATTGACTTGAAATTTATACAAAATGTTTGTTTTCGTTAGATGAAGAAACTCGTAAATTCCTGTTGATTTTCATTGATTCTTGGTAAGCTGTTGCCCTAGAACATCCTGAAAAATCTTCTGGATGCTCTACATACAACAACTTTCATGGGATTTTTGGATGACTTAGATGCTGTGGGTGTTTCTTCCCTGTTCTGGCAACCTGTTTTAAAAAAGTTTCTTATTCATTTTTATACGCCCACATATTGTTGTTGCCCCCGTCATGAGACGAAGAAGCCTATAGATTTTCAATGATTTCCTAAAATTACTGCTAGAGTTATGGCCCTTGAACATTTTTAAGTATATTGTGGATGCTCTAGAGGCTAAAGTTGATATCTGATTGACATTAAATTTATACACTGTATTTAAGGTCAAGAGACCAAGACACCTATCGATTTTCATGGATTTCTGGAAATTAATGCCAGAGTTATGGCCCTTGATTGCTTCAAAAAGTCTTCTGGATGCTCTACAGGCTAAAGTTACCATTCGGTTGACTAAATTTATGCATAGAGTTCATTGTCTTGAGATTAACCAGTATATTTATTTTCAATGATTTTTGATGACTTGAACAGCTAATCCATGATATTAAATGTTTTGGACGCTAAATGTTTTGTATACTAAATGTTAGCATGAGGCAGAACTAGAAACCAAACAAATTCTACTGATTTCTGATAATTACTTAATGAGTTGTTACTTTTATCAGATTTAGTGTATTGAAAATGTTTTATTACCGACAAAAGAAAAAATATGCGACACCTCTTGTTGACTGCTCGGACAACTTAGCTGCTGTGGGCGTATGTTTCATTGCTTTTTAGAGCACTGATTAAAGTGTCAAAGCTGATTCCTGATATTATTTATAATGACATTGATTGATTATATGTAAGGGTATTTTGATTGATTATGTATAATGGTATTGATTGATTACATATAATATATAATTTTTTTTACAGAAAGAGTAGTCAGAAAGGTAAAGGAAGAACATTAGAAACTTTACCATCAGAAGATTCTATCAGTGATAAACCTATTGAAGGTCCTACTATAAATGTAGAGAAATGTGAAGAAGAAGATATGGAGACTGCAGGAGAAGATGGCTATCAGTCAGATTCAGAATCAAGTGATGATGAACCACTAGCTTTTAGTCATCAGGAAAAATTATTTGTTAGAGGTAGGCACAATGTATTAATTCTGATTAGATTGAGGTGGTGCTTTAAGGAAATGTCTTATGATTAAAGGTTAGAACAGTGACCACATAATTGTATGTTCCGTCCTCACTTTAGTGAGAGTGTTTAATCCCTCTATCCTCCAATAAGACATGTCTATAATTAAGTATTAGTGGATAGAGCCAGGCAAAATTGATTTTTGCAGAGAAAATGTATTTATTAGTACCAAGTAAATTGTATTCCACAGAATTGTGGCCTGTGTATCTCAAGGGAGGTAAGAACATACAACATAAAATGTTTGTGCCAAGACTGGGATTATGAAATTCAAGTGTCAGAAAGAAATCGGATTAACGCTCACTTGGCACAATGCAGGTCATTTTGTGATTAACATATGGTACAATTTTATTTCAATACTTTGCTTGCACGCAAATGAAAGTTTCATGGTAATCGATCTAGCGGCGCAAGGGTGCAGACGGAACTATCCCTCAACCTTCTCGGTGATTTCACTTTTTATAACAGTTCCCCATAGTTATATGTCATTTCCACGCATTGTATGCCATTCGGAACTGAATAGATTTTGAATGTGATCAGATATTATGTAATCATTATTGTATTACAGACTGTTTAATTGTGTGTTATGCATGCGTGCCATTCAAAAAGATATGAAATAATCTTTTCATCGTGTTAGGGGCCCCGTGATTCTAGTCAGTCCGCTTTGCTTGCATGTAGGGATCTTTAGAAAACCCACAAGATTGTGCAGATAAGCTTGGGATTGAAACCACAGCACTTGACTCAATGACAGGCTATATTATGTAGAGAGCTTGTATTAGACCACTTATGACTTAACCACCCTCTGTAAGCATCGTCAAGATCAGTAAATGTCATACTACCGTCAACCATTATATGTAAATGAAATTGGAATTAACTAATTATAGTCAAAGTATTCTTAAGTGATGAGAACAATATGATGATTCTATAGCAGAATTAAGCTATAAATATGCTCATTGTATTTATACTTTTTCTAGAACACCACATTCCAAATTACTGTATTTAAGAAATTCAGATAGCAGACAATAGCTCTACAAAAATATTAATGTTATTATGAAAATAATTGACCTTTTTTGACTGAGCCTAAGAATTCAAATAGGTTCACACTTCAAGACCTTTCATTGTTCATTGCATTAATGAGCAGATATAATCTGCTCTGCACTCTGTATACTTTTGTATAAAATTACAACTCAAATTACTAGAAATGTAAACTTTATAAATAAACGTGCATGGTGTACATCTATGACTTAATAAGAAACACATAAAATTAATTTGAGATGGTTTTTGTCTGTAAAATTACAGAAGAGATCTCAGACGAAGAGGGTAGTAAACCAGTTCCAACACCAACTTTTAAATCTACTCCTGATCCTATAACTACAAGTGGTAACTGGGTACAAGATGCTATGAAAAGTACTATGTGGTTGGGTACTGAAGATGGCTGGTAAGTAGCCTATATTTTCTGTCTGATATTAATGAAAATTTGCATTTGTAAGATCTGATTTGAAACAAATTTACAGAGTTATTGCCCTTTGTGAAAATATGTCTGAATTTGCTTGTGAACTCTCATAATATTCAATTACTCTAGTTAGAAGATAAATACTTCTTGTTGCGAATTTATTTGGGGTTTATTATCCATTTAATCATACTTCAATCATTAGAACATGAGACACAGCATTGAGTTGTTCTAATGGACAATTCAAGTATGGTTAAATGGACGATAAACCCCTGAAAAAATTTGAAACAGAAATGTGTTTATCGATATTGTAACTCAAATATTTAGGGATTTCCTTGCCTAAATATATTGAGAATAATGAGAATGCTTTTCGGAAACTATTTGTAACTATTTAAGAAGCATTTTACACCCATTTTAAAAAAGTTGTTATTTAGCCACGTGCTGAAGTTTAGTTTTCAAAAAGCATTCTCATTCTTCTCAATTATTTTAGGACGTCCTCATCCTCTTGCAAATTATAAAATGTTTGAGTCTCGAGTCACAGGTAAATGAACTATGAAAGAAAATGTTAAATAGTTGCTTTCATGGTAAAAAAATGGCTGCTGCCATTTCCCAAACCTGTCTTGGTGGCCACTCATTAGCAATTATATTACAAAATTGTGGATTAATTAGAATTCAAGGAAGGTTGTATACATACAATTAACATCTGAACATTATATAAACACTTCAATTGAATTTTTTTTTTCAGCATTCATATTTTCCAGTGTACAGACAACATAAAAACTACCAAAAACAAGCTAAAAATTCAACATACTTCTGCTGTCTATGGCATTGTGTAAGTTAAAATTAAGTCTTATTTGAATTAATGGAATTTGATGTATTTTAAACTGAAGAATTTGATTTTATTGGATCTAAACAGGAATCAATTACTAATAAGTGTGTTTACCACTTGTGCGATATTTCATAAAGCGTAAAGCTTACACTTCTACTGTGTATTGACATGATTATTGGAATATAAAAATACAGATGAAGTGGTGACCAATAAATTAATAAAAGCTTCTTTTTTTTGTCAATAGGTGGTTGATCGAGCAAACCTTTAATGGTCTTAGGTAGTAAAAAAAACCAAACAATATTCCATCGAACTTTCAACCCACATAGTAATCACACAAGATTATCTGGTCCAAATTCACAATGGGAAATAACTTCTACTTTCCATCTGCATCATGTATGAATTCATTTATGACAGGAATTACCAGAATTACCAGAATTTATCAAGAAATGCTGATGGATGTGTTTATCGATATTGATAAATATTTACATTGTGATGATAATGCCCTATGTTATTTTTCAGATATTTGGATAATAAAGTATTTGTGTCTTTAGCTAATGGTGATTTAATTGTGTATAAGAGAGACCAAGGTATGTGCCGGCATGGTGAGTAGTTCCCGTAGTTTACCATAATATAGCAATATATTTTAGCTAAACCAACCTATAGATCAATATTATTAGTCAGATAAGATGAATGTACCCAGACTTTCTTCTCTAATCAGTCAAGTATGTCAATATAGAATTTATCGACCCTGTAGGAAATAACCCTATCTATGGTATTCACATAGTTATGAGTGTTGTACTTTAGATTTACCATGCTGTGCTGCCATAACCCTGTTTAACATAGAGATACCATGAGGATGGAAGCAAGGCTCTCGTTCCAGTCATATTTGCCTGTCTTGACTGACTGAATAGCAGTAAAATAAATCGCCGGGAGAATTTACCTATTAGTCAATTTACATGTTATCAAGGCTGCCGCCAACCAGTATCGCAGCGCAATTTGCGATACATATTTTGTCTGTTGCTAATCAAAAATTAAAATCTAACGTTTTTGATTCGCAGTAACTGCGAATCATTAATATGCCTGTCATTTTGGATATTAAAACAAAGCTTTATCCACATTTTGAAGACAAGAAGGCTTTCTCAACACTTTCAATGTGTATAAAATATATAATAAAATTTTACAAACAAACCACAATCTCCGTGTGACATTTTCTTCTCGACTACCCAGAAACAATTCATTATACTATATAATACAGGGACATAAATACATGTATTGTAAAATGAGAAATAAAGTAAGAATTCCCGTAAAGTATTATCTATATAGCGTGCGTCTAGTTAATATAGATCATTCGTAAAATACCATGTGCGTCCGATTGAACAAAAATAGTAACACACGATAAAAAGCAGACAAAATTGTTTTTTAACAAAGAGATAAGAATTAAATGAGTGAGGCTTTGGAAGCCACTGCCATGAAATTGAGAATTGACTTCAGACATAAGACCTAACCAAAAGTCTACATCACATTCACGAACATTCACAGCTACCTGTAGCAGTGCTAAAGAAAAATTAAGATTTAAGAATGAAATCTAATCATTTGTTTTGAATTAGAATTAAAGTAATATCTTGTTATTTGGGTGTTTTAAGTTGAAACTGAAAAACTGCTAATCAATTTTTACATTTGTTAATCAAATTTGGCAAAATTGGACGTTGCTGCTAATCAACTGTGAAAAATTAACAACAGCCCTGCATGCTATATGTACGGTTATAGCTTTTATATTAAAGAAAACTTAATACTTGATTTATCAGTTCGGATCATGCTAAAAATTACTATATTGTTTATAAAAAAAATATTTTACTAATCTATGATAACCAAAATATGTGACTCGCAGGCTGGAAAAATATTGATGTAAAAGCTGTGTATGAAAATATTAGAGTCCTAAATTTGTTTTTTAAATTTATTTTGCAGAGGGCTTGTGGAATACCGCGAATCCATACACAAGAACTATAGGCAGTGCCCAGTCTCCTATAGCTAAAATGTTAGCTGTAGCAGGAAAGTTATGGTGTGGTTGTCAAAATACTATATATGTTATAAACCCATCAACGCTTGGCATAGAGGTAATTTATATGACAATCTTAAAATTTTATTCTGTCTTCCCATGTTTAAATCCAAACCTATGGACCTTAGATATTTCAAAGAGTTGCCACTTGTTTGTTGAAAAAAGTTGTAAAACTATACTTGTAATTGTTTGGAAAATGCTTTTATACGAATATATGATACTTTTCCAAAATTCTCTCCCATATGGCATAAATTGTTATGAACAAGTACGAGCTTACCAAGGACGAGGCACAATCTTGGAATTGTGATGTCATGTCAACAGTCAAAGTTCTTCAATCGATAGGTTATTGTCCAAGGAATTATTATGCCAAGTGTTGTGTCGATTGTAACTGAATTGATGGAGCCTTAGGCTTTTTTCAGAGAGCATCACCACCAAGAAGAACCCAAACAAGATGAGTAACACTTAGGGAACAGTTTGTGGTCCAAAAATCTAAACTATAACTTTACCCATCACATGTGAGGATTTCAGACCTCTTGTATTTGTCATTTCAGAAATCCTTTATTGTAAATATGGATTCCAATAGAGCTGTACAATGTATGGTCTGTTCGGGTCAAGGGGTATGGATTGCCTCACAACAAAGTTCAAAAGTCAACCTGTTTCATGCCACAACCTATGAATTCCTGTTAGAAGTGAGCATAGCACAAGCTGTGTCACAGAAACTACAGTGTAAGTATGCAATTATTTGAAGTACAAAAATAATTATGAAGAATATTACAAACACGTAGAATATATAACAATATGTAACTCTGCATTTATCTAATTGCACTATTAATAGATTAGGAGGTGATTTCAAAAATGAACAAAAATGATAAAAATAATTGCTGAAATTGACAATAATAATGTTATTATGTTTCTGAAGTCAAATTCTTATCAGAAACAAATACAATGTCCATGATGTAGCAGGCAGAGTGAAAAACATTCCTAAAATTTTCATCCTTCACTCAACACAACGACTGGCCTTTCTTTCAATTTATATACGGGTAGCCCTATCTCACTTTCAACATCAATGCTGCTGGCCTGAACATTGCTGAGGTTCATTTCTTCATTAATTAGTCCACTGCAGAAAATAAATATATTTGTCAAGCTGAGCTTTCAAGCTAACATTGTGACAGCATAATTATACAACAACCAGGTTATCCGCTAAAGAATCTCAGCCTTAAAAGTAAACATTTTTGTTACTGATATTCTTTTATTTTATATAGCGGCTGATGATATTATCCGACAACATAAAGCAGCATGTCTGCGATTGACAGCCTTATTAGTGTGTAAAGATTTATTGTGGGTGGGTACTAGCGCTGGCGTTATACTCACAATACCTATTCCAAAGATAACCTCGACTACGACAAATGGCTCATTAGCCACACCTTCTGTAACTGGTATGTATTTTCTCAGTATCAAATAGATTATAGTATACTATCTGATTAATTTGCCTTGAAGATAAGAGACAAATGATTAAAAACCTTTTATTGTATTGTGTAGTGTTTTGTAGCCTGGGATACTGAAATCTGATGGGGTTCTTTTCCATAGACGCTCGGGCCCAATGTATGTTTGTGGGCCAGCCCTGAAATGCACGAAAAAATTCCCATTCACAGGCGGCAACGTTGGTCAAAGCGAACGACAAAATCTCAGAGCTTACTGTGTGGGGGCCTCCCTAACAAAGTTTCGGACAGTTGGCGGCCGCAACAAAGTTTGGAAAAATTGACAGCCACAAACACGTTTTCCTGCTATTACAGCGCATTAATACAGCCACTTCAATGTCGTCAAACATAGCCTAACTTAGATGCCAGACCTGAATTCCAAATAAATGTTTAGTCCATGGAGCCTCCGGTCGTCTGTTTGCTGACCTGAATTCCAATCAATTAATCAGACTACTGGAGCTGCCTTACATGGCAACCAATTGTTTAAAAAACATCAAACAAAAGCTGTATGCTGAAAACAATAGTACTGAGCATAAATGCTAGTATGTGACAACATTGCTTCAGTAATGCGACTCTGCGTTTACCCTAGGCTTCTAGCTCATTACCTTATTACATTCCATTTAAATTTTTATTTCAGGTCTTGTTCATGGACATACAGGTCATGTACGATTCCTTACATGTGTAGATATTTCTAATGCTGGTCTTCCTAAATCAACTGATTCCACTTCTAAAGACAGTGCTGAAAGTTACCCTTTACCTGACCTCCACCGAAGGTCGTCAATGGCGACTATGACTGCTACCATGGCAACACGTATGCTAGTTATAAGTGGTGGAGATGGTTACGAGGATTTTCATAATAATTCAGCTAATGAATCAGCTGGTAGAGATGACAGTACAAATCACCTGCTGCTTTGGCAGGTGTGATCAACATACATGTATGACCAAGGTGGATGAAAGGAATAGCAATTAATAGAAGATTAGCAGTAATTGACTACAATTTTGATAATATGTGATATCAATACTTATATCACACAGTCATAGTATTCAAAATTTTAAAAGCTGAATTCTCTTAAATTAAATTAGGTGATCCATCTGTTTCTATATTCTAACAAAAGATAGATAACTATAACAGCTACTCAAATCAACTTTTATAAAGATTCTAGGTACCTATTAAGCTTTCATGATTAAAAAATGTGTCAGTGATGTCATCAATGATACCAGATCTTTCATTATGGTATTATCAAATCTAGAAATGATGATGTTTTTAGTAAATCATTCAAATATGTTTATGTTGTATGTCCAAATTTATATTACCTGTTATTCATCATTCTTTACTTTCTAGTTGAGAACTGCAGGTTCTGATTCTATCATATATTAAATATAGAAATAGGTGGACTGTATCTGTTAAATGATCTGACTATGGATTATAGATCTGTTCAAATTGACACCATGTTGGCACTGTGGCTTTAATAACACACATATATAATTTTATCCACCTTGTTCTGTGTACGATTAATCAAATTGTAAAGCGATTATGTAAATATATCAATTGTGGTGCTCATAATACCTTGGTTGTGACTTTCGACATCAACCCTAAAAGTATTTAAACAACAAATACAACATGGAGTATTTTATCTAAAGTGTCTATTTATTATGATTTGTACATAGTGAACATAATGTACAGAAGAGATTTACTAGACAAAATGTCATGTTATTTGTCTCCATCATTTTATTGACGAGAAAGATACAGCACAGGCAATGAGTGCCTTATACCGACCTATGACTTTCACTTCACTTCATAACATAAGTGCTATTAATCAGATGTTATAATGACTGACTCAAAAAGAAACTAGTTCAAATTTTCACACAAGTATTCATGCAGTGATTGCTTATTTTATCATCACAAGTGATTATCGGTAACCTCTTTTTTTTTCTTGAGATACATCATGACTTCTGGAATTTTTACATTCTGAACCTGTAATAACAAGCCTTTATGTTTTCATCTTATTGTTTATTTTTAAACTCTTATTTTAAAGATTTGTTCCCTTGAGAAGTTAATCTCAAAACTTATGTTTATCTAAAAAGATCTAATGCTTCTAATGAACAGGAAAAATAAATTTATGGTCCTAGAACTTTTAATATTTTTTTTTATCTTGTCAGCCAGTAAAGTGGCACCCATTTGGGGTTGCCGACTCACTTGCATGATATAATTTCATGAATTTTGAATTAATTGTGAATACAGATGTCAAATAAAATGATTATTGAGAGAAAAAATGAATCATACAAGACTTTAAAAGTTAAATTATTTAATATACAGTTTAAATTGTTCAATATTTGAACGGTGGAAAGTCTTTATTTATTTCGACAAATGCCATAATTTGAAAAGCTCGAAAAACACATGAATTTACATTTATATGGTTTTCAGGCAATCAAACATGGTTTTGTTTTCTTGTATTTGATATTTTATTATTTGTTTGTAAATTTAGTTTTACATTATTATCATCATGGTGTTTTGACTTGTCTCAATTGCAATATTTGTAGTATTTTTATTTATAAGTATATTATGTTTTTTGTTAGAAATGTTCCTTTAATTGTTAACATTAGATTGCCTGAGAACTACATAATGTGTATATTAGAAATTGTCTTTTAAAAGAGAAATTAATCAGATTTGTTTTCATTCATAATTTTGCTTTATCACTTTTTGTTCATTTCATAATTGAAACATCAAAAAATCCTTATTTCAGTATTATTTATTTAATTTATTATAATTTTACTTATAAGTCTTTTGCAAAGTCCCAGTACAGAAATTGAACAAATAAAATATTTCAGATTGCAATAACTATATAATTGTTGACCCATTTCGTATTAGAAGTAAAAGGGCTGTTCGATGTATCTTTAAGTCATCGCTGTACTTTTTAATGGAAATCGGTCAACACTGTCTTTTAGTACTTGTTTAATATAAATATGTTCATTTAAGCTGCATATCTTTTAGACAGAAATATCTAATAATAGAGTCCATGAACATTAGCAATATAAATTACTTGAAAATGGAAAACAAAATTCATTTCAGTTTTCTATCTCCAAGCAGAAATATGTTAGAAAGTAAATTTGTTTGTCTATTCAACCAAATGTATGAAATGAGCAAGAGTACTGAAAATGTCATTCAGACGCAATAATTTGATAAGTAAATTAAAGGTAAATATGTGACTCGTAATAAAAAAAGAAATAAGCAATATTTTCATACATCACATCTTGATATACAAACTTACTTAATTTTCCAAATACAGAAACATGATTTATTATTTACCATTATATATATATATATATATATAGAGAGATGTACAAGATGTAGATCTGTGGCCATATATTATTATTATTAGCAATAACTTTTACAAACTGCACACATTTTTTGAAGTAATTTATCTTTTTATTATTATTATATATTATTGTACCTCATTATTTTGTAAAAAGTGTATCGTAAATCCAACCAAAATGTGCGTGCACATCCCTGTATTATATTTCTCTAGTCGTAGAACCATGTTTTTAGAAGTGGCATAAATAATTCAGCCAGAAAACACAGTGAATTTATTCTTAGTGCAATTATTTATGATTTTTAAAACCCAAAACTGTTGATCAAAAGTGTCAAATATTTGTTGATAATAGGTGTAAAATTAAAACCATGCCGGCTAATATCAAATTTCTTTATTTCGACTTACATCAAAATATTTATTGGCTAAACTTATGTTGCTGTGCTTTAACTGTATTACTTTACCTGGTTGACTCCAAAAGCTAAAATTAAAACTGGCCATTTTTTTTTTTAGACTGAGTTATAATGTAAGTAAACTGGCAACATGTCTTGGATATTAATTTTCTATCATGAGGCTTCTTATGTAGCTTAATGTGTGCATTCTGTTAACATATCAGTGTTCCTGATGGCATGCACCTTTACATTATCAAATAAATTGGTTACATTGCCTTGTTTGTTTTTCTTTAGTTCAATAGCAATGGTAAGTTGATAATGTCTCACATCACCAGAGGTGTAGCCGAGAAATATATATTGGGGGGGTCCGCAACCCTAACCCCTAACCCTATTTTAAAACCCCTAAAAAATATAAACAAACACCATATGGCCATGCTGTCTACACCGCGTGCAAAGTATTATGGTTACGTGGCTGGCTGAGCGGGCGATAAATATTTGGTTTAGGCGATAATGTTTTGGGGTACCTACATGCGATTCACTCTGATAAGTGGCAGAAAAAAATTAACTAGACACAATTTTATGGAACACTGTTACTTTTCACTTCACACATGTTTCAAGGATGATTCTCTCTGTGTTTTATTTTAGCAATGTAAACCATATTGGGATATGTACAGGTTTTATACAAATAGAATCTTAACTAATCCTAATAATTGTTGTAAATAAATAGGAGTTAGGGTCTACTATGTAAATTTTTTGGGGGGGTCCAAGTATATTCAGAAAAACAATTGGGGGGGTCGCCCCCCCCCCCCCATGTGTGACGCCCATGCACATCACTGAAAGGGGCTGATTTGACCAAGGTTTTTAACCCTTACAGGAATCACATTGCTCTATTAAATCTCTGTGACTAAAACTTTGAAAGCAGGCACTCTTTTTATCATCACAGTGGTGCAGGACAGAGGGCCTGGCAACGTACTATGGATAATTTTTTTAGATGGACCCCCCTCCCCTCCGAGATCCCGGTGTGCACAAGAACCCTTGACTTTTGGAATGCGAAATAAGAGTAGAGAGAGAAATAGGTTTAACATCCACACGACAAAAACCAGGTCATTTCGGGACTAATTTTTTTCGGTTCAATTTTATTTCAATAATTTATTTGCATAGGGGAAACTGGATGACCCAGAGAAAACCCACACGGTTGGACAGTCGACCATACTCCTTGTCATGTACAACCGGGGAAATCGAAACCTTGACTCAATGACAGACCTTATGATACAACGCGCATGCGCTAACCGTTTTGCCATCCAACCTCAGCAAATAAGAGAAGAGCTCCGATGGTGAGAGAAATGGGGTTTAAAATCCACTCGACAGAGACTAGGTCATTTCGGGACTAACATGGTTTAATTTTATTTCAATAATTCGCTTCGTAGGGGTCTTTTAGCAGCTGGACAGGCAACCCTACTCCGGGCAAAATTTCCCTTATAGCACTCTGTATTGCATACGCCCATGTTCATTAGCTTGGTTTGAGCTCCAGCTTTAAAACTTGACGTCGCATATGCATATTCGACCGGAAAATCGTTGTACAGACCCAATTCATTCAAAATATACTCTTCAAAAAAAAAGTAGGGGATATACAGAAACAATACAAAACTGCGGAAATGCACTGTTGCTCCACCAATCCTCAGACATTCAGCAATTCACCGTGGCATGCTCCTAATCACGATTTGGGGCAATCTGACCCACTCCTCTTGCAGTGCCACGGCCAATTCTTGCAGTGTTGTCAGTAGACGTCCCAGACATGCTCTATAGGGGAAAGGTCAAAACTCATGGCTGGCCAAGGCATATGGACAATATGGTGACGCTGGAGGTAATCATTCACGACACGAGGGCGGTGGGCACGGGCATTATCTTCTTGAAAGATGAAACGTCTACCCGCACGTTGAACAAAGGGCAGAACTATCGGTGCCAAGATGTGGTCACGGTAGTACACACCAGTGACCCTTCCTTGACCAATATGCAAGTTCGTTCTGCCAGTCATGGTGATTCCTCCCCACTGCCACATCATAACAGACCCACGCCCGAATTGTTATGCTGCCTGACGTTAACGGTAGCATGACGCTCATTTACACGCCTCCAAACGCGAGCACGTCTATCGGTGAAATCCAGAGTAAATCTTGACTCATCTGAGAACATTACACGCGCCAATCGACGATTACCCCAATTTCTACGTTGCCTACACCATTGACGTCTGTTTGCCAGGTGCTGGCGCGGTAATGGACAACACGCAGCCGTCGCGCATGCAAATCGGTTGCATGTAGCCGATTTCTAATCATTTGGGGTGTGAATTCCTGTAACTTGGTACAAGTTTACAGAAAGCTGATTGGCCGTTTGTCCTCGATTTCGCTGGACCTGTGTACGAATGTATCGATCCTGGGCTTGTGTAGTGGCTCTAGGATGACCTGAACGAGGTCTATCATCAACATTGTGTGTTTGTTGGTACCGGTTCCACAGTCTTCTGATCACAGATTGACACATTAAGCATGTTCGCTACTGCTCGCTGTGTAGAACCCATTTGAAGCATGCCAATAGCACTAGACGTTCATGTTGAAGACGTCTCATTGCAAATTAAATGTAACACATTAAAGCAAAGATACGCAAAACAGTAAATCTTATGCAAGAACCGATAGGAAAGCAACCATGGATAGGATAAACCAGCCTGCGGCAGTTTTCATCAACCCTTCCTTGAAGTGTCAATTTTGACACTGAACCCCTCCCACGTGTATGGCGCCATTGTGTGTCGCATCTGCAGCTCAGTTGGAGCGATAAGTTCTTCATCTGTGAACATACTCTCAAAGCATGTCAAGTGTTCATGACTATCATATCACAACCTGCATAGGTATTTGCATTTCAATATCCCCTACTACTATTTTTTTTAGAAGAGTATATAATCCAAAGACCAGTTTCACTCCAGTCGAAATACCTTCGTCTCAAGTCTCCCAATCAAGGGTTAGGGTTGCGGGTACCAAATTAGATTTTTTTTTTTAAATGTTTTCCGTTCAAAATGCTACATATATATATACAACTAGGTCTAAAAATTAAGGCCAATTGCAAATTGAGGGTTAGGGCTAGCTCCATTTACATCTCGTGAACTTTGACCAAATCTGCATTTGGCCGTAATATTTAGACTTAACCACCTAGATCCTGGATTTGGAACTACTTCCCAAAGTGCAATGCAATTGTAGCCTATTCCTGCATGGAAATGATGGATCCAATTAAATTTGTTCAATTAAAGATTTTGTTTGAACTAAGAATTTAATTGAACTAACAATATTATATACTTCGTATATAATTCATCCAGTTGGAATTAGGACTCAATTAGTCTTTTTAACAACAGAAACAAGTCATTAAAAGTAGGTTGGTATTTTTTTTTTTTGATAATTTATTAATTTTTTTTTTACAGCGACAAATCTTTACCTGAAATAAAAGAAAAAGAAAATTATTAAGTCAGGATTTTTATTCATGTACTTGTTTTAACTAGAAGACAGCACATATAGTGAATCAATTCACTGTAGAAATGCAGCAGTGCTCAGACAGCCCGAAGGCCAGTTATGTTCATTAAGAGAGTTGGTGTTGGTGGGTTCTGCTATTTCTAGCTCCAACATCTACAACAAACCAATCAATTAATGTTTCTTCATCACAGCACTTCAAAATGGTTTCAATTAATTATTTATAGTTAGAAATATATCCATTTAAAGATCTATTTTATCCTGACCTAGAATAGAATACTTTTAACATTCTGCATATTCAGTGTCACTAAAAAAAACTTACATGATTGGTGCTTGTTGGGCATCTTGTGGCTTGGCACCTTTATGTTCACTGTATGGAGCCGCTGGTGGATCTTCATCCTTTGGTTCAACTATACTGACATGATCAGGTAATGGTTGACGAGGCCCAATCTTTCCACTGGGATCCCATGGCAACATAATTTTTACTTTAATACCCAAAACTCCTATAACAGAAATTAAATGGCTATTTTACAAATTAAATGGCATCATTAAATATAGGAGTTAAGTATTTTAGATTCACAAATGCTCAGACAGCCATATGGCTAACCATGTTCATTAAGAGGGTTGGTGTTGGTGGGTTCTGCTATTTCTAGCTCCAACATCTACAACAAACCAATCAATTAAAGATTCGTCATCATTGCATTTATACTAAAAATAATCACTCAATTAAATTATAAAATTATTGTGTGTATTGTAAGAGAGAGGTCAGTCAGCTATCGAGGGGATTACAAGAGAAACCAATAAAAATCAGCAGTTGCCATGCAAGATACGCCCACATTTTGCAAGAGATGGACAGAAAACAAGCTAAAATAAACCCCAAAAAACACCGACATAATTGCAAATTTCGTCATGATTGAATGATTGTGGGTTAGAGCTAGCCGCATTTACATCCTGTGACCTTTGGCCTTATATTTAGACCTAACCACCTAGATCCTGGATTTGGAACTACTTCACAAAGTGTGATGGTAAGGTTCAGTGTGATTGTTGTGCAAAGGCACATGTGTCTCTTCTGAAGGATACATCCAATGCAATTGTAGCCTATTCCTGAATGGAGATGATGGTTCCAATTAAAATTTAAGAGTCCAGGATAAAAATATTGATCAAGAAAAAGCTTTTTTACTCTCTGAAATAGGTTGGGTACAAAATGACCATGTTTTAGGAGCTTCAATAATTCACAAATGCTCAGACAGCCATATGGCTAACTATGTTCATTAAGAGAGTTGGTGTTGGTGGGTTCTGCTATTTCTAGCTCCAACATCTACAACAAACCAATCAATTAAAGATTCGTCATCATGGCATTTGTACTAAAAATAATCACTCAATTAAATTATAAAATCATTGTGTGTATTGTAAGAGATGTGAAGGTCAGACAGCTATTGAGGGGAATACAAGAGAAACCAATAAGAACAAGCGTTGCCATGCAAGATACGCCCACATTTTGCAAGAGATGGACAGAAAACAAGCTAAAAAAATTGCAAATTTTGTCGGGCAGTTTTGGTCCGATTTTTACGAAATTCGAACTCAATCATCATCTAGATGTAATTGTGATACATTTAAACGATTTTTAAACTCAAACATTTAAACATTGTGACCTGTAAAGGTTCCACAAGCAAAAATTGTGATTTTCTTTTCTTCGTACAATCAGGGGCTATAATATAGGAACCTACGGTCCGATATGTGCTAAAATCGAAAGGAACCAAGACCTTCGTGACCTCTAGAGCGACCCTAACTTTGATATTACATACTTTTACACTATTTATGTATAAGGAGCGGCCCTTTTGTGTTGCAGTTTCGGTCTGATTTTCACGAAATTTCTAACTCAATCATCAATATGGGGTATAACCATGATTTAAAAAAAATGATAAAAATTGTGACCTCTGGGGGGAGGGGGGAATACAAGCTAAAAACATGATTTGTCATAAAATCAGGGGCCATAATCCTGGAAGTTGCAGTCCGATATGCGGGAATATCAAAAGGAAACAAGGTTTTGGGGTTATAAACATACATTTCAAGTTTCATCTAAATCTGATAAAAATTTTGACTTCTCGGGGCGAGTACAATATACGTCCACATGAAAATGTGGGCAAATAAAAATCTAGCTTCTTTATGCATGCACCACAGCAAATTTTTTTAAAGATTCCAAAACTTTCAGTAGTTTTCAAAACAATGTTTTAAAAGAATGTGACTCGACATTTTTGTTGGTAATCAGCAGACAGTTTCCATTATGCACTCAATTGATGAGTCATCAAAAGAATGGGATAATTTAAACAAATTATCTTTATGTCTGCATGTGAACATACCTTGTCGAAGAAGTACATGTCGAATAGCTGTATCTACATATTCTAGGAGAGGATCACCACTGTGGATCATAAGACCATCTGTAAATTTCATGGACTTGGCTCTCTGACCTCGCAGTTTACCAGATACAACAACTTCACAGCCCTTAGCTCCACTCTCCATAATAAATCTTAGTACACCATAACAAGCTCTGAAAAATATTAAATGCTGTTTTTGACCATCTTGACAAAACCTTCAATTTTTAAAGAGACGAAAATGAAATGAAAATGGATTCACACTCACTGCAGAACTTTGTTGTAGCCAATTAATCTTTGTTCAAATTTTTTCTCTTCGAATTAATTTATTTTTGTAGAAAAGTGTCTGAGAAAGGAATACATGTATTTGCAGAGTTCTTTGAATGATACAAAAAAACAAACTCTGGTGCACAAGTGTAAAAGAGAGAGAGAAATGGGGTTCAACGTCCACTCGACACAAACTAGGTCATTTCGGGACTAACATATGGTTTGATTTTATTTCAATTATTCGCTTGCGCATAGGGGTCTTTAACAGTGGGAGGAAACCGGAGGACCCGGAGAAAACCCACAAGGTTGGACAGGCGACCCTACTCCTTGTCACGTACAATCATTGGTAGTTTGGAATTCGACTACAGTATGGAATATTTCCTATTTTTCAAATGGATTCAAAATTCTCAATTTTAAAAGTAAATAGACTTAGTAATTGCGTTGAAGATCTAAATAATTGGGAAAGAGTTATGGTCTAGTAAAACTGCAAACCCTGAGAATCCTTTACAAACTTACCTTCGTACAGCCAAACCTCCAATGAGTTTGTATCTTAAAGACTCACACTGAGCAATAGCACATAATCCTCTTGTGGCAACTTTTTCAGCATACAACTTAAAAAGAAATAAATGAGGAAATGGAAGGGAGTTGAAGATTTCTGAGAGAACAGCCTACCTATCTATAGCTATGACCGTCATATCGGCAGTATAAACTTTGGCAGCGGCCTCGTTTTCATTGGAAGGGCTGGGCTACGGGACGTTGATACCTTCCTCATAAACTCGGTCTTTTGGAGTTTATATTTGTGGGGGGTCTACACACATTTTGATGACGTAGAATAAAATTCTGAATAAACTCGTCTTTCATTTTATAAGATTTGATTTGTATAAGTTCAACTCCGAAAATTGGCAATTTCTGACATTTTGTAGTCAACAAAACCACCCTTGCTTTACTTAAAGGGATGTATAATATTTTTCTTAACTATGACAATAAGTTTGTTTGATTATTTAACAATCTACTTGCCAAATTTGACGGAAATCTTATCGACTCCCAGATACTGTATTTGGGCGAGCAAATTCCATAATGATGTTCAGCAATTTTTCTGTCAAAATTGCAATCGAGCATGTCAAAAATATTCTTCATAAATCCAAAATTTTAGTTTTATTTCGTGCTATGAATATTTTAATGCCTAATGGAGAGCATGTCCAAAATACTCTTCGTAAATCCAACAATTTTTTTTATTTCTTGCTATATTTTAATGCGTAATGGAGAGTTCTTAATTGAACATTTTTGAAAATAAGCCATTGGATGGCTGTTAATGGAAGATATTTAGCAGTACTTGGGTCCAAAATAGAATGAGCTTGGTATTTTGGGTCACGTGACCAAATTCCTGCACACCCATTGGCCGATAGCTGAAATATTTCACAATAATTACAACTTTTATTTATGCAACTTGTCACAAATTGGCCATCTGGGGCTTTTGTTAAGCTTTCCAATGGAACCAATTTCATTGAAATTGACCAATAATTAAGAAGGTTACAAAACTTGTAGGTCATTACGTGAGCACTAATGCTGTATTATGCAACATTAAATTGCTGTAACTTTCTTGTTATTTATCACAGAAAGGTAATTTTAGTGTCATTCAAATGGCATATTGAATTTAGTTGGCTAATGATGGTAATTAAATTTCATTCCATTGACACATAGCTACTATCTATGATAGCCTGGATGTTGATAAATTATATAAAATACAGGTGAAAATGTTTACTTGATTAAGTCTGTGACAGGTGTCATGTCATGTTCAGGCTTGTGTAAATATAAAACACAGCTACTTCAAATCTGAGTAGTAGACAATTTCTAAATCTTAGTGTAAAATAAGTCACAGTCCAAATTCACTTTTAATAGTTGCACAAATCGAGAAATCCCTTCATCTTACCTCTACTGTGTTCTCAAGAAAGTTGAATCGTTTTTGTACAACAGAGGTTAATTCTCTGATACGTCTGCCCTTCTCACCGAGAACATTTTGTGTTCTGGTGGCAAGAATGATGATTTCTGTTCGGGTAGGAGTTACACGAACTTCAACACCACTGTATCCATCTTCCGCAAGTTCTCGAGTTAAAAACTCATTTAATTCAGCCTTGAAGACTCCATCAGCAACGAACTGAAATTGTCACAAATGCTAAATTTAAACCATGCTTATCAACAATTCAATAAATATGATAATCTAATTTTTCTGGGCATTCTAATTCTAGTGCCCAGACAGCCTCAAGCCTAACTATGTTCATTGAGAGAGAGAGAGAGAGAGAGAGTTTAAGGTCCACTCAACACAAACTAGGTCATTTCGGAATAACACCTGGTCTAATTGGATTTCAATACTTTGCTTGTGCGTAGTGGGGTCTTTAGCAGTGGGCGGAAACCGGAGGACCTGGTTCATAAAGAGTTGGTGTTGGTGGGTTCTGCTATTTCTAGCTCTAACATACATCAAACCACTCAATTACAAATACTTCATCACAGCACAAATGAATTACCTGTATCATGTATGAAGATAATCCTTAATATGAATGAAATGGGGTTTAAGGGTAAAGCCATTTAAGGTCCTACTTTTCTGCTTCAATGGGCTGAAACAAAGACGAGCATCCCATGTGAACTATTAGGGAAATTTTGCTTCACACTATTACAGGTTATTTTACTTGCATGCCAAATTTAAGGTGTACACGGCCGGAATATCAGATATTTCCGGTCCCATCCTAACGACTAGACACTGTTTCTTGTTGCCAGTACCTCCGTCCTGCACCACTGACAGGGATCAGATGTCTTTATGCATTTATGTGTCAAGAGTTACCATTTGTTGAAATCGGCATGGCTAATCTAAAAGGAACCACCAAGAACCGGTAAAAATAGTCTGCTGTACGCACACGTCCGACTGAGTGACAAAATCAGCCAGGTCTGGGTTATTGGCCAGTTGGGTGTATCATACAATCACATACACTGTAAATTTATAACCTACTTTCAAGAGGCGTTTTTGTGAACCGATTAGATTAGACCGATTAGCTATTATACGCATTTGTGAACCAAGTTGATTATGCTAATCGTTACATTTGTGAGACGATTTAACTAAACTGATTAGGCAAATCGACCTAATCGTCCCAGGAGGTGTTTAGGCGATTAGATATGACGTTTTCAAAATGGCGGAATGTTCGACATCGTAAGTAATTTTTAATGCTTATTGTTGTTTTTCTCCATAAAAAATGTTTTTTTAAAACGCATTTGATGTGTTTAAAGTAGCTAAGTCTCTAACTCAATATCATCCAAAATCTTCAACATTGAAAACACGATTTATTTGTCAAATTATATCAACATTCATGTTGTGATCTTAACGGGAAAAGATGGGCTTTTGATATCCAATATTTAAGACAAAATAAACATTTTTCCATTGGTATCAAGAGACTCGAGGAACGAGGCTAGACACATTGCACCAAATCAAACGGCGTATGTAAACTGGAATAACCAGACGCTAGAAATTTGCACTCGCTTGAGACTGCTGGCTTATTTCGCCGAACATAACGGATTTGAAATTGGAGTAAAAACGGAAACCATTGAATGTAAATCAGTTTATATACATTCATATTACAGTATTATATGCATTGCGACCCACTTTTGTCAATTTCTAGGTCCCAAATGTTAGCGATTTAGCTCCTTTAATGTTAACTTTATAGTCCACAAGAATGTTAGATCACCTCTGGCTCTAAGCAATTTTAGGCCCTCTGGGTGCCAGCAGTGTCACTGTAATCTGTAGGTAACTTGGACTACACGTGAAACACACGCCCCCCTCGTCATGTTAGCAGAGACAATTTTTTTTCTGATCGGTGTCCGTGGTGGCAGCCATCTTACCAAATCGTAATTATCAAATTTCACATTTGTGGACCATAGCTAATCAAATCGAAATCATACCAAATCGTACTAGCAAATCAAAACCTAATCTAATCGACTCACAAAAACGCCTAAGAACTGTTAAGATTATAACTTCAAGAAAGGTCGATAGAAATGAAATGAACTTTATTTTTTCGTTGAACACAACAAATGGCAAAAATAAACATGTGAAATTGAGGAAACAGTGTTGGCAAAATCGACGAACAATCCATAACATCTGCAAATAAGAAGAGGGTGTACGGTGATTTTTAAGAAGTAATTGAATACTCTGAATTGTCTGAGGTATTATTTTTATTGAAATATTCTTAAAACGGGTGTAGTTAGGCTTCAAACCTTTCGTTTCTTGGGAAGATGACGTCCAACCATATTGGATGATAAACGGAAAAGGAAGTTGTAAAGAGGAATTGTGGGTATGTCAGTGCGAACCACTGGAAAACAAATCGAAAGTACAGTTGACTGTAATCACATGATGATAGCATGGCGGAATACAGTTTACTTGTATTTTATTTTATCTTGAATTTTATATTTATTTCTCGCAGTTCCATTCCCAGTGATGTTCTGAACCAATATAAACAATTTCTGAATCAATATGAAAGAAGTTACCATAATGAAAGTGATGAATACTGGATTAGGTTTGGAATATTTAGGGTAGGAAGGATATAGTCTTCATATAGAATTCTAATTCTTATTCTATTTATATTATTATATACCGGTACCTTGATTATGTTTAGTCCTCATATCTTTTCTAAAAGTACAAATAAATACAATGAATGAAAAATAAATAAATGTTATTTGTCTCTCTATTGTGCTTTTTATGGACAAAAATGGCTCAAAAGCACATATCCAAACTGATTTACATTCAATTTTTTTATAAACTTTAATGGACATTGGAAGCATAGTCTTTAATCAGTTTTGTTCGTGGAAATACTTGAGTGGTCCAAATTAAATGGCAGTCACTTGCGATTGGTAAGTCCAGTCTACATTGGAAATACAGTTTGACATATCACTTATACACTGACGTTTAGGTCCGTTCAAGAAGGTACCTCGACCATTACAAATCGTGTTTGACAGCATATAGACTATAGACTACACACCAGCATGTACTGGTTTTTAATTTAAATAGTTTAATGTCTTAAATATTTGATATCAGGGGCCCATATTTTTACTTCTGCTTGGGATGGACAAATAATTTGTGTTCTAATGTCAAAGACACGACACAGGATAATATTGATCTAGAGCTTTTCACCTTTTAACAAGAGTTGATTGTGCAACATTACTTTAAGGAACATAGGTTTTGGCACAGTTCAAAAATAGGGTGTAAATAAGGAGAAATGTTGTTCGAAATTCAAGGTTTAAAATTAGGTCAATGACTTTTCTTACATTTTGCCCTTTAAACAATGAGAACATATGTACATTAATAAGATAGAAAAGAGATAGAAATTTATACGTTAAAAATATATTAAAAAAAACCAACCCAACATTTGGGACATAAGCAAAGAAATGAAATGCAGTTAAAGATACATTATGGGAGATTAGATAAAGAGTTGGCAGTTCTCACTATAATAGTTAAAAACTAGATAATATAAAGGCAATTTGCTGAAAATTTTGGTCAAATTGATCTACTATGAACCGAGAATTAAGCGATTGAAATTTCGGCCTAGCCTCGACCATCATAGGGGGCTTGGATGGCCGAATGGTTAGCACATGCCAGCTGTATCATAAGGTCTGTCATTGAGTCAACTGGTGTGGTTTCGAATCTCCGGTGGTACGTGACAAGGAGTAGGGTCGCCTGGCCAACCTGGTGGGTTTTCTCCGGGTCCTCCGGTTTTCTCCCACTGCTAAAGACCCCTATGCGCAAGTGAATTATAGAAATAAAATTGAACCATGTGTTGGTCACGAAATGACCTAATTTGTGTCGAGTGTACGGTAAACCCCATTTCCCTCCCTCCCTCGATCATCATTACTAACGTTGGTACGATAAAAAACATAGTCTCAATTATCCATTTCATGATTAAATCATGAATTAAACTTGAGCAGCAAATCGGATCATAATCCAATAAATATTGCAGGCTAGCGTTGACATCGAGAGTTGATTATGGTCTGGATAAGGTAATTATTGTCTAATTAATAATTTAGTTAACATTTCAGGGCTAAAGAAAGACCTGCAATAGGCAGATTTAGCTCTTGCATAATGTATGTTTAATTAACTTCCTGCTTTTTTACACTAACCATGTTATTGACAACGAGTAGGCTATATGTCATGCAGTGTGCTATGAAGGAAACTCTTATTTCAACTTCCTACTTTCAAGGGTTCTTTTATGTTCATGGCAGCGTGTACACATGACCTTGGTTTGTTGTACAATCCGAATGACTAGACATTGATCCTTGCCAGCACCTTGTCTTCCTGGAAAATCCATAACTCTGGCTAGTGAGCCAATGGTGTAAGACACAAGGCCTGAGAAGGTCATGTGTACAAGTTGGTGTGCATGTTAAAGAAACCTTGGAAGTCCAGGCAATATTTACCTCATAGTATACTGCATGGTATATGGTCATCTTGATTAGACTGGGTAATGCAGAAAAGTAGGACATTAAACCCCATTTTATTTAATTTCAATCTCTTTCAATGAACTCTTGTTTCTTTTAGAAAAGTATCAGTATGTCGCATAATTTAAACAAAGCACATCTCAATGAATCAAAACCAGTTTATGGTGTTACCAAGTTTTCTGATATGTCACCTGAAGAATTTAAAAGTAAGTACAGTATTATATCATACATACATACATATAGACAAAAATCCAGTGATAAGATAAAAAATACCCATATTATGCTAATGTCAAAATCAGGGGTACTTCCAAAATTTGCTTTCACATCTCTGATAAGTAGGCCTACTTCGTTCAGGAGTAATCAGTAATCTGATATTTAAATATCTGTGACACATTATTTGAATAAATACAGGGAAACCATATTACATTTAGCCCCAGTGTCTACCAGATCATACCAGATGATTTGTTCTGAATGCTACACTATGTCTATCATGTAACTAGAACAAGTATTGACGATGACCCTGGAAAGTACCCGTAATTTGAGACAAGAAATTTACTAATATTAACAGCGCCTGGGCACAGAATTTGGATTGACAATATTCTTGCTATATTTTTAAAGTAAAAGAATGCCATTTAGGATATAAATCAAATTTTCGCTGCACATAAATGCATTTTAAAAAATTAACATCAGTTCACTTAAACACTTTTAAAAACATCTGTTTTAGAAATATATCTTGAAGATTTACAAAGTCCCAGATGGAATCTTAAAGTGAATAATCATACTCCCATGGATAAAATAAAGAAATTGAAAATACCACAGAAAGTAGATTGGTATGTATAAAAAATTATTTATAAAAATAATAGTTACATTATTATGAAAAATATTAAAATATGCATTATGGAAAATTTAGATAAAGATCCGACTGTTCTAGCTATAATAGTTTAATAATAGAAAAAGAAAAATGAATATATTGCAAATTTCTGTTAAATTACTTTATTTGGAGGGAAGTTATGAATGTTTGAAGTTTTGACAAGAAATAGGCTCAACTGTGCCCACCGTTTGTCGATTGACAGTTCATAATTTCATATTCTCATAGTCGAAGCCATTAAATATCTTAGCCATCGGATAGTCTAGACAGTTGATTATGGGCTTGCTTCGACTGTTTATCTTGTTAGAGTATAGGCTAATGTGGGCAATGATTCTTTTTTTTTTAAGATTAAATCTTTTTTGTTTTCAAAGTTAATCTCAGAATTATGTTGGTGTTTTATCTTGTTATTTTAACACTGAAGTACTGGGTTTTTTTTATTTTAGGAGAGAGAAAGGAATCATTTCAAATGTGAAAAATCAAAAGTCATGTGGGGCTTGCTGGTAATTATCTTGCTTTAGTAATGATTTTTATCCCCTAACAAATTTAAATGACTCCGTGTTTTTTCATTCTCATTTTCTTGCAAATTTTCTGACATATTCAACTTTGTGTCAGATATGTATAAATATAATGAAAAACTCTGAAAAAAGGCAAAACTGTTCCAGACATATTTATTGACACTACATTTGAATATAAATAGTATATATAGTTTAATGAGTAGAAAATATTATAACATGATTCTTTAACCTTTTTATTGGACAAATGACATTTAAACACTATTTAGATCTTTTGAGACTTAAAGATGGGTTCCCAGAAAGGTATTTATCGGGTGGTTATTTCCAATAAAAGTATGGCAATTTTGGTATATATGGAAAGTAGAGATATCCAATCTTACCAGAAAAATACTGGATTCCCCGAAAACCACTCATGGAGCGTATACAGGACAAAAATGTAAGGGTTCCCCTAATCAAAAGCCCGAAGATTAGGAACTTCTGCACGCGTCATGTCAAAGGTCACAAGCGAACATTGAGCGCTTGATGTACAAGTTGATAAACTTTATGAAGAGTTAGACGTACAATACTTTCTGAGATAAAAATGACGGAAAAAGACGCGGCTAGTGGATAATCCGAGAATTTAATTAGGATTCGATATTTGTAATAAATAGTAAGCGATTAAAGACAACATCATCTTATGTATGCAATGAATTCTTCTCCGACTCCCAAGACGTGACGTAAACATAACCTGGTTTGATCGAATTTTTATAGCAGGGCATTTCTTCGCAATTACAATGTTTGAGAAGGATTTGAAGCATAATTATGACAATTTAATTAGTTTGAATATGTTTTTGGTCCATATATACCATTAAATCACCCAGTTTGTACGCGGGAACCCATCTTTAAATATTATGTTTTGCATACATATTAAAATTTAAAGCAAGAATTGCTTTTTATTTTTTTTAAGTCATATGTTTAAAATATGCTAAAGTAAAGCCTTAAAATACATGGCATCTATACACCCAGCCCTACCTTGTTAAAGAATAATCATAAATCCTGTCATTCACGTGTGTCAGTGGAGAAATTGGCAAATATATAATTTTCTTTCTAAATCCAATGCTGACTTTTACGAAGTGTTATCGTCAGGTGTGTGGGTTTGAAAAGTCTCGCTGAACCAGGCATCATTATCCTTATCTGTTTAACCACAGACTTTGACAATCAAGTCAACTCTTTCATTGTGTAGACTTATTTATCCAGTGAAAAGAAATGATACAAATTCCAAATACCTTCGGCGAGTAGAAGTTATTTCCAATTTTTATGTGAACTTTTTTTCAAGAGCTAGAATGATTCCTATGATTGTATAGTCAGTAGTGATTTAACACCTTATTAAGTAATAGATATAGAAATAGTTTTATTTTGACTGTCATAGAAAATATGTAATTTTCGCTTTAACTATTTTTTTAAGAAAATACATTGCATTTCCTAAAATTAATTCCAAAAAGTGGTTGTTGTCTTTTACCAAAACATTACCTTTGGAGGTTTACAATTAGATACCTGCACTTCTTTATTTACAGGGCGTTTAGTTCCGTTGAAACAATTGAAAGTATGTATAGTAAGGAGAAAAGAACAACTGTACCTAATTTATCAGTTCAAGAAGTTATAGACTGTTCTGTAAATAATGATGGTTGTTTAGGTGGTGATACATGTCAAGCATTATTATGGTTACAGGTAATATTGTTTATATCATTTTCTTGATTATCTGTGTACAAATACTCTCTTCTCTTTGAAAACACTAATACTGATGTCAATAAATTAGTTGTGCATGTGTATTCTGAAAAGATTTTCCCGGTTTGGCATTCTGGCACTGGTCTTGAAGAATCTTCATTGGTTAGGTTGAATGTAAGGAGGTTACTCTGATCCAATGAACGCCACTACTGCACATGCTCTCATTTAAAGACGTCACAAATACACAAACTGTGTTAAAGAGTTAAATTTGTGGCAGTATCAGATGTTATCAAAATGTTAATGCAGTTTATGGCTTGTTGAACTATATGGGTTTATATTGGCAGGTGTATGAAACACAGTAATAATTATTTAAATAAAGGGATTGATTTTATATACTTTTCAAATTCAATATACATCGATAACACCATAAATTTTTATTAATCATTTTAAAAATTTATTTCTATACGCTTACTTTTTCATGTGGACGTATTATGCCACCGCCCCTGTCCGTCTGGACATCTATAATTTGTTAGTGGACACTCTACAGGTCACAATTTTTATCTGATTTTGATGAAACTAAAATATATATCTTTATATCCCAAAGAACTCAGTCCCTTTCAATATTTCCACATTTAAGACCATAATTTTCTGGATTATGGCCCCTGATTGTATGAAAATCGCTTTTATTTTTAGCTTGTTCTCTATCCATCTCTTGCAAAATGTGGGCGTACCTTACTGGCAACTGCTGGTTTATCTAAAGATTAAAGATTTTGTTGATCAGTCCACATCTTAATTATTAATGTATCCCATTGTATATTTTCTTAGAGAGAAGAGTGTAGAGATTTTTAGAAGTCTTCTCAGTCATTTATTTAGTGATTTTATATTTCATCAAATCTGTTCATATGACAATTCTTTTACAGCATGGAAAACCTTTAGTTGAACAAACATCTTACCCTTTAACTGACAAAAATCAAGTCTGTCAAATTTTATCATCAGCAAGTTTAAGTGTTCACGTAGCAAATTATACTTGTATGCAGTAAGTTATTTAAGCGGTGGACACACTACTCGAATCAACCCGCTTCAAAATTCGTCTAGTGTGTCCACTTTCATTCAGCCGAATCAAACACGTCTGATATATTCGGCCGAATTATATTCGCCTAGTCTGTAGAATATTGAGAAGTAACTTGATTGTTTTAAGACATGTGAATGGAAAGGTGGTGCAATCGACTAGTGAATCGGGTGAGGGATTCGCCTAGTGTGCCTACTCATTCAGCCGCAATACAATTGATTCGGCCGAATGATTTGGCTAATGTGTCCACCGCTTTACCCAACCTGGGTGTATATTTTCATTACATTAATACTTTGACTAAGTTTGATATTATTATCAGCATATTCTCAGTTTTAGCTGAGTGATAAGCAGTTTGATTGATTATTGCTTTATGAAAAGAAATATATGCATGTAATTAATCAGTACCATCTATTTATTTTGGGTATAAGTTAGGCAAAATGTGCCCTCACGGCGACCATGCGACCAGCTACCCTTTTCCCCAATATGGCATACTATGTAAACACTTTTTCTCAAATTGAAATACGCCAACAGTAGGCTGCATTTGTAACTTACAGATCATCACTTCTGTCAGCCTCTTCATATAACTCTAAAGTAATATGGCAAACAACATTACTAAATTATGCTTGTTACATTGTGATTTTAGCTGGGGGGGGGGGGGGAGGGGGTCTGTCCTTTTAAAGAGGCAATATTGTTATAATCCTTTAGTGGCATTTAGCAATTGGAAACATAACAAAACTATACAGTTATATGGGACAACAATCACTGGTTTATTATACACAAGCACGACTTTTGGATAAGTATTCTCTTATCGTTAATCGTTATCAAGCACAATGACATTTAGTAAACTTGAGGGTCTATATATGTGTACAATGCGAAACCATTCTTATTACTAATCATTAGAAGAGTTCAACCAATTAACAGACATATTTAACATCAAAGACCTGAAAAGAACCGTGTGATGACAAGGATATAGTTGTACATGAACCTTAAAACCACCCTGATATTGAAAAAGAAAAATGATTAGGGGGAAACCATACATTAAACAAACAGTATATAACAGATAGAGCTTATAAACACACGGTCTTGTAAATAAGACCACATTCACAAAATGTTATGAAAACAAAGCATAATAGCACTAAGATAACACAATAAACTGATCCAAGGGTTTGAAGGATCTAATATAGGCTAATAATAATATACTAAGTTAACATAGTAATCACGATTCAAGGTGTTAAAGTTCAGAGAATATATGTTATTAAAAGTTAATAACTGGGGGGGGGGGGGAATCAAAAATATACATAATTAAAAGTGATAACTGGGGGGGGGGGGGAGAAAAACCCATTAGACCACTTGTATGTAACTGATAAGGGCTTATAACACCGGATCTTGACTGAAAAGTAATTCAGCATAATATCACAATAACTTAAAAGGTTATTAAAACACAGCATAATAGCACTAGGATAACACAGAAATCGCGAGCTAAGGCGTTGTAGGTTGATAACGGGCTAAAACTGATTGGACTAGGTTAACATAGTGATGTGCGATTAACGTGTTGTAAGTTCAAAAATAATTATTGAGAGTTAATGGTTACCCATTGTAGGCTAATTGACTGATTTGATAACTTCATCATATTGTTATTGATTTCTCAAAACCAACTACCTCCAACCTTATGGCCATCAAGCCCTCTTTGAGTTAAGCTTTGTGGTCCTCAGACAGAAAAGTTTGGGGACCTTTGTTTTAATGCTAGCATGAACAACTTTGCTGGTAGTGGGGGTTTTGGAAGGCCTGACAAGCCCCTGTCTATTTTTATGAATAACTTTCATTTATTTTACATTAAAAGATATCCACACAGAATTGATGCAATATTTGGATAAGGTGCTATTTGATTAAACTCAGATTTGACATCATCATTTTGATTTATTATATGACATGTTTATCTTTTTCAGCTATGTAGGTGACGAAAATAACATGTTGACCCTGTTAGCAACTGTTGGCCCACTAACAGTTACAGTAGATGCTACAACATGGAGTAATTATGTCGGAGGAATTATACAGTATCATTGTTCTGCTTTCAATAATCATGCTGTACAGATTGTTGGATATGATTTAACAGGTAAAATAAGTGAATATGTCTCTTAACTTTTAGAGAGGTATTATTACTCCCTCCAAGAAAATAAATAAATTTCGATTGTAACCTAAAATAGAAAGTTCTTGGATTCTGATTGGTCCGTTGAGTCAAGCTGTCCACTAAATTCAATAAAGTGACTCGCTGCAAATGAATATTTCCCTTGGCACTACAATATCTTCATTAGATTCAAATTCTAGACAGTCAAACTTTATTTCAATAAATCTTCCTGAATTCTTGCTTGTATGTCAACCACAATGAAATTAAACAACTTGCATATTGAAACACACACACATCTTAAACACAAAAAAACCCAAATCATTGAGTGTATTTGAAGTAAATTTTATTTCAATGCTTCTTTCTTTCGCAATGGTTGCTATGAAATCATTTGATTTCACTTACATGCGCAATCTCTCTCTAATGTTTAAGCTGACAAATTGTCTCTGGAAGTTGTGCATGTGCAATTTTTCATGCCACTGAGGAAAAGATTTCTCTGGTATTCCATAAACAAATAAATAAAACTAAGGTAATAGTGGAAAGGAGTTTTAAATTAAATTGGATGATTAAATGAATTGATGCTTTTTTTTATTATTCAAATATACATTTTTTCAGGAGATGTGCCTTATTATATAGTTCGTAATTCATGGGGAACAGATTTTGGAGATAATGGTTATTTATATATTAAAATAGGAGAGAATCTTTGTGGTAGGTATTGTCATGGTGTTATCTCCCAGATTTTATTTATGTATTATTTACTTTTAGACATTTTGGGTGGATTGAGGCAGGGGACATAATTGTCACTAAGAGTGGTTTGCATTTGACATGCAGCATCCTGAATAATGGCCCCTGATTGTTCGAAAAATCGCGTTATTAGCTTGTGGTCCCTCTATAGAGGTCACAATTATTATCCAATTTCAAAAACCGTTCAAATTTCGAAAATATCACTGTTACACTATAACGTTGACGGAGTTCGAATTTTGTGAAAATCAGACCAAAACTGTCTGACAAAATAGCCACCCTTCGTACGCAAATAGTGTAAAAATATGGTATATCAAGGCTGTGGACCCTTGAGAGATCACAATTTTGATCCAATTTTTGATGAAATTTAAGACACATTTTTATAACCCACAGATCTTGGTTTCTTTCAATTTTAGGGCATATCGGATCGTAACTTCCTGAATTATGGCCCTTGATTGTACGAAAAATCGTGTTTTTAGCTTGTGGTCCCCCAGTTTCGTCCCGATGATCTAAAGCGTGGTGAGGTATATATGCACAGAGCCCCATAATACTTTCTCTTATTATGTTGACTCAAATCTTCCTATTTGACGCGATGCAATAATAGAATTTTTACGGAAAATTTGAAACTCGTCTGCTGTACGAGACACTTTCCTGGAAAATTTAGGACATTTTTCAAAGATGTCGACAAAACGGAAGTTATCTACTGGCACCAAAACAGAAGTTATCTACTCGTACATACGAACAATAGCTTGAAATGTGCATTTGAATCAATTATTATCTGGCTCTTACAGTTTATTTCTAATCCAGCGAAGATTGAATTTTGGTATTCGGCTAACACAGATCTTTGCTTAACTTGGATAAAATTGGTCAGTCCACTTCGATCCGACTTATGCGAAGTTTACTGTATATATATTTTTATATCCCAAAGATCTTGGTCCTTTCCATATTTGCGCATATAAGAAAATCGGACCAGACAAAACAAAATGGCTGCGTCTCGTACGCAAATAGTGTAAAAATATGGTAATTAAGTTGTGGACCCTCTAGAGGTCATAGTTTTGATGAAACTTGAAATACATGTTTATAACCCACAGATCTTGGTTCCTTTTGATATTCATGCATATCAGATCTTAACTTCCTGAATTATGGCCCTTGATTATATTTTGCTTATTTTGCTCACAAATGTAGCTCCACCATCACTTAATTATTTATAAAATATTTGCACTTTGTATTGAAATTGACTCACTGATATTGAAGTAATTTAAGAATTCTGCCACTTTTATTGGGATATTTGGTCATAATTGGCTAGTATTTTAGATGCCTGAGCTAGCTGTTACTGCAGCTACTATTTATAAAGGCCAATTTATACTCCGCTAAGAGAACCCACGAAGTGAAGCATTACTTGCAAAGCTGAGCTAAGCAAAGCTTTACTTGTGAAGCTAAGCTAAGCTAAGCTAAGTGACACTGATTTTCTCATGTTGTTAGATGGATCGTGATCGCAACAGCGGACGTCGTTTTGCTGATTGGCTGTTTAGATGCAATGTTTTAAGCAAAACATTGATCCGTGAGGACTTCGCGATGCTAAAACCTCGCCATAAAGATTGGCTGAAGAGAATTCTTCGCTTTGCTTAGCAGAGTATAAATCAGCCTTAATAGACTGTCCAATTTATCATAAAAACTTTCCTAATTCTGTGAATGAACTCCATTTTGGGGGGTATAATTCAACCATTCTGTTACTTTTTCAGAATTATAAGGTAGTACATGGTAGTATTTGTTGAAATTAGGTGGTATTGGTAGTATTGGGTAAATCTACCCTACTGCTTCAAATGGACATTCTTAAGTTTTTGTTCAATTCTCATTTCAGGCATAGCCACCAGAGTATCTTCCCTAATGGTTAAAGTGTAATTGTCGGTTGCTAATTGTAGGAAAATGGGATTCTCATCTTAAGGAATATTTTCAGTCTGAAGACTTTTAAAAACAATTCAGATACTACTTTAAATCAGATTAGTTCATATACCTAATATATATATTTTTGGATGATTTTTGTTGATATTTTATATAATTACTTTATTATTAAAATTTGTTTAAAAAAACCGCATAATACTTTATAGGGTTTTACATTTGTTGATTCCCTTGCTTAAGTTAAATTGAGTATTGCATGGATGGAATTAGGCCACCAAGACAGATTTACCATTATAATTTAGTATATCATACACAAGCTGACAAAGACCCAGTTTTTAAAATTGTGTCCTTATAAGTTAAGGCTATGGCATACTAGTCGTATGGATTTTATTTTATGAAGCAGTTTCAGTTATGGCTCAATTCTTTAAATAATAGAGCTAAATCTATTATTAAAGGAGCTAAATCGCTATTCTTTGGCACCTAGATATGGATACAAACGGGTCGCAACACATATAATAATGATGATGAGTTAGTTGTATTTTACCTTCGCTTCCACCGAGGTAATATCGCGGACAATATATAATAATGTAATATGAATGTATTTAAACTAATTTACATTCAATCGTTTCTGTTTTTATTGTAATTTCTAATCAGTTATGTTCGGTGAAATATGTGAACAGTCTGAATTGAATGGAAGTCTTTGGTGTCCAGTCTACACCAGTTGTTTATCCCCCGAGTCGCTTCATACAACTGGCGCTCGAAAGAATTCTGTGCCAATTTTGAAATTTTCATTTTGTCTTAATATTGTATATCAGAAGCCCAACTTTTCACGGTGAGATAACACCATCAATGTTGATTTAAATTGACTAATAAGTCGTGTTTGCAATGTCGAAGACTGTGGGTGGTATTTATAAAGACCTGACTCCTTATGTAATGAGGTATATAAATTGATTTACATTCAATTTTTAGTGTAATCTCTAATCAATGTTGAAGGAACAGTCTCAATTGAACGGCGGTCGTTTGCGCCTGCTTAGTCCATTCTACCCCTTTTTTTCTTCTTTTTTTTTTAAATGCCGTCGTTTGTGAGTTGGCCATTTCTAATTACTTCCGCATTGTTTTCTGCTACATGTTTTGGTTTTTTTTGTTCAATGCAAATTGTGCTCAAAATTTACTCGAAACCATAAAGTATACAAGGTTGTGTGCGGGTGGTACTTTTTACCGCCGACTACCGCCGTCGTGAAATTACCGCCGACCAAATACTTTTTACCGCCGACCGCATTGTAATGACTTTCGATCGTAATATAATTATCGCCGACCAAATACTTGTTAGCGCCGACCAAATGCTTAATGATTCCTTGTTACCGCCGACTGTATAAAATTAATTAAATTATTAGTGAGTAATAAATAGATTTGGTTAAATACACAGAGTTTGATAAAAAATATAGATTTTATTATATATAAATATGGTCGACAACCCTAACCCTAACTCTCGCACTAATAGAAGATAGGCCTAAAATGTTATTTATTTATAACCAGTGGCTGAAACAATCTTGATATATTTGCCCTTCAGTATCTAAATTGTAGTTTTGTCCTTCCATATTCTTTAAAATATATATGAATGTTTTTCGACAGTTGTACGTGATTACACCTCAAATAAAAAATAACATTCTTGTTGTATTCTTTTATATAAAAAACAACAACCCTAAAATAGTCGGCGGTAACAAGGAATCATTAAGCATTTGGTCGGCGGTAACAAGTATTTGGTCGGCGGTAATTATATTACGGTCGAAAGTCATTACAATGCGGTCGGCGGTAAAAAGTATTTGGTCGGCGGTAATTACACGACGGTCGGCGATAAAAAGCATTTGGTCGGCGGTAGTCTGCGGTGGTCGGCGGTAAAAAGTACCACCGGTTGTGTGCTGTTCATGGTGTCGTAAAAATTGGATATTAGGATACCATATTTTCAAGGTAAGATAATTTCAATATTGATTGAAATGAACCGATTGTTTCAGGCCACCACTTTGTTTCTGAGAACGGTAGCTGTTACTATTAGAAACTAAATAAACTATATTACTACATAATTATGTTCGATACCTATTAATTATTAACACCTAATCGATATATTATTACCAATTAAAAAAAGTTGGTATTCTCAAATGTATTACCGTAATCAATATTCAGCTTATCTATAATAGTTTTAAATTAATTTACGTCACCGTCATGGTAATTAGTGTCATCATTGACTAAGTTGCTGTTATTGTTTACATGCATCCATGAAAAAGATAGGTTATTATTTATATTCCACCACCTCTTCAACGTCACATACGTTAGGTTGTCGATGTTAATTTCGATATTTCATTTTATTATTAAATTCTAATTTATTTCAGTTGGTTGTCCGTCAAATTTCACTCTGGAGTAGGATGGTAGTGTTACAAAATGTGTCAAATTTTGTGATAAAGCTCAAAACTTCCTGAATTCAAGAAAAACGTGTCAAAAGCAAGAAGTCATTTGTTGAAAATAGAGTCTGAAGCCGTAAATATACTTTAAGTATAAGTAAGTATACTAAAGTATGTATAAGAAGTTGTATACTCTAAGTATATGTAAGTATAATAAGTTGTACATTTTCGTTTTCGCCCTTATCATCATGCAAGGTGGTTGAAGTAGTCACTTTTTGAAGAGAATTTTGGGCGGTGACCGTAACAATATTCCATTACCGCTGACACCGAGTCTGCAAACAATAGGGTCATACGCACAGGCACTTGAAGGGATTAAAATAAAACTTCTTCTCTTTGACTATATATTATAGTAATAAGAAGGTGTATCAGCTGACATTTTGTTTTGACTTGTTGACGACATTTCGTCTGCTATCATCTCACAATACTCACTAGTTCTAACACTTCCCGTCGTTTTTATTGCCAACGAAAGTTTATTTGATCATTATACACCTTCCAATGTAATTAAATTGGTCATTTTACAGCGTTATTAATTACAAATCAAACTAGAAGCGTGATCGCTTGGCAATTCCTATCTTAGACGGACCGGAAGTACGACGAAATGAGGTCAAAGGAATTCCCTTTTGCTTTTGTTTGTAGCAGTCTGTATCACCCAGTCCCTTATAAACCTATTCGTTACTCAAAATTTGCCTAGGATCTGGGTGATGCAGGCTGCACCAAAATACAAACAGACGGCCTGCGGTCTCGCTCAATAGCGGCCTCGCTTCGTAGGCTCTATCATTTACCCTGTTTGTCGGGTGAAAAATTCAGGCTTTTGAAGTTATAGAATACCACTAGACGCCGTTTTTTTTTTTTACCCTGATTTTAGATATTTTAAATTTATTATTCAATTTAAAAAACATAACGGTTTCTGAAAAATTGATGAAACAAATGATTTTTTATTATGATCGATGCTTGAAAAATCTATTATATTATAGTAAATATCGGCCGAAACATGATCGGAGATGTCCGGTTTATTTCTTCATTACGGGCACTTCATTTTTGCCGACTAAAAGGCAAAATAATTTTTTTCCCCAAAAATATATTAATTTTTCATCACTTTACCTAACTACCCGAGAGATATGTGCCCCCCCCCCCCCACAAACACACACACGACACAGTTTACGTCTACGCAAGTTCTTGAAATAAAATTATTTAATTATAGATATCACCTTTATAAAGTCATTTTACTTTTGATCCATTAAATTTTCCTAAGTATGTTACCTACCAATGAGAATATTGAGCTGTCTTTCTGAGATTCTTAATTCGCGATCAGCTATATATGAAAGTCAATTTTAGTTTTGGTAACACGCCTCGACCAATCAATAATCAGGGCTTCCCCAACATGACGTCGTTGACCTCATTACGTCTTTCTTCCGGTCCGTCTAAGATACGAAGAGCCAAGTGATCACGCTTCAAGTTTGATTTGTAATTAATAACGCTGTAAAATGACCAATTTAATTACATTGGAAGGTGTATAATGATCAAATAAAGTCTCGTTGACAATAAAAACGATGGGAAGTGTTAGAACTAGTGAGTATTGTGGGATGGTAGGAGACGAAATGTCGTCAACAAGTCAAAACAAAATGTCAGCTGATACACCTTCTTTTTCCTTAATATATAGTCAAAGAGTAGTAAGAAGTTTTATTGTCCCCCGCCTTTCGAAGAAAGCAGGGGACTATTAAAATGGGTTCGTCCGTCTGTCTGTCTGTCCGTCTGTCTGTCCGTCACACTTTTTGGGACACAATAACTCTCTTCCTAATTGAGCTAGAATGTTCAAACTTGGTGTATGTGTTTATTAGGTCAATGCCTTGATGGAGTTCGAAGATGAGCATTTTCCGCTTAGGGTAAGCAGAGATAAGCAATTTGATTGGTTGATGCTTTGGGACACGATAACTCTCTTCCTAATTGGGCTAGAATGTTCAAACTTGGTGTATGTGTTGATTAGGTCAATGCCTTGATGGAGTTCGAAGATGAGCATTTTCCGCTTAGGGTAAGCAGAGATAAGCAATTTGATTGGTTGATGCTTTGGGACACGATAACTTTTAATTGAGCTAGAATGTTCAAACTTGGTGTATGTGTTTATTAGGTCAATGCCTTGATGGAGTTCGAAGATGAGCATTTTCCGCTTAGGGTAAGCAGAGATAAGCAATTTGATTGGTTGATACTTTGGGGCACGATAACTCTCTTCCTAATTGAGCTAGAATGTTCAAACTTGGTGTATGTGTTGATTAGGTCAATGCCTTGATGGAGTTCGAAGATGAGCATTTTCCGCTTAGGGTAAGCAGAGATAAGCAATTTGATTGGTTGATGCTTTGGGACACGATAACTTTAGTTCTAATTAAGTGAGATTGATGAAACTTGGTGTATAGTTTCATTACAGTAATACCTTGACTAAGTTTGATAATGAGCATTTTCTGCTCAGGGTAAGCAGAGCGATACGCAATTTGATTGGTCGAGACTTTGGAAAACAATAACTCTCCTACTTTGATTGTCCCCCGCCTTTCGAAGAAAGCAGGGAACTATTAAAATGGATTCGTCCGTCTGTCTGTTTGTCTGTCTGTCCGTTCCGCTTATGGTAAGCAGAGATAAACAATTTGATTGGTTGATCTTCGAATTGAGTAAATGTTCATGCTTATTGTCCCCCGCCTTTCGAAGAAAGCAGGGAACTATTAAAATGGGTTCGTCCGTCTGTCTGTTTGTCTGTCCGTTCCGCTTAGGGTAAGCAGAGATAAACAATTTGATTGGTTGATGCTTTGATTCCATCAAAAACAGTGTATGCTTAGACTATAAGTAAAGATATACTGTTTGATTGTTCAATACTTTGTAAAAGATAATTTGTGATAAATTTATATGTGTCCTCTAATTATTTTCCTATTTCGGCGGGGGACATCAGCCTCACTGTTGGCTTGTTTTAATCCCTTCAAGTGCCTGTGGTCATACGCTACACCAAAATGTAGTTTCGACTCCGACTATTGTCCAACAGACAAATATTTACTGTCAAATGGGCTCGATTGTATGGAGGCCGCTTTATATAGCAAACCAAACCGTGTGGCTCGGGAAGATGAGTGTGAACTGACATGTAAAACATTCATCGACCAACATAACCTGGTCGGCTTGCACACTAGTTAACGCACTGTTGACGATTATATTGCTTTACAAAATTACAATTTCAGGCTATCCTACACCTGGTGTTACAATTGGTTTGATCCGGGCGAACTCGAGTCATTTTAACTGGTTTGATAGCACAGAGGTAGTCTATAGGAATTGGAAAGAAGGAGAACCCAACAGCATCTCTGAAACGTTTGTTTTTATAAGCTATAAATATTACAAGTGGCATAAGAAATGAACAATTCGTCTGTGAAATTCAGCTTTAGCCATTCACACGTCCAAGTTATTATTCCCGGACATATATTGCGAGTGATATAGACACCGCCTTCGTTTGTTTGTCCGTCTGCCTTTTGTTTCAGTTTTTTGGACGAAGGGTTGAACCTTCTGGAGTTGTGCTTTTTGTTATTTAGTCTTGATGGGCATTTAAGTGACGAATGCAGACGCAGATCACAATTCTATGGAATATAATTACTGCTTATTATAGAGCGACGTTTAATGGTCATTTCTCCACATTGATTTAACGACAAATCCTACTAGCACTAATATAAAATACACGTAATTTCAAATAGCCTTTAATGTAACTGCTTATAGGTGAAACCCACAGATTGCGTAAGTAGTTACAATTGGTTACATCCCATGTTTGACAAAAATCTTCTTGTGAAATGACGCTTTATCAAATTTTGTTTGTAATTTTGTGCATTGTTGTCACTTTATCGTCAAAAAATAATATTTATCAGCTGAGACTGTCAGGAAGAGTTGATCCAGATTTAGATTTTTTTCCGGTAAAATCACGCACTCATTGTTCTATGTTTTGTTCAACTGTGCAGTGTGCCTCATTTTTATACAAAAATAACACCAATGAATGCGGCATTGCAAAAACGTTTGCTGGGGATAAAAGTCACTGGATTAATTCTACAGATTGTACCTACTGGGAACCATACGGTAGGTTGTATATATTTTACTCTTCACGTGATGATCTGCGGGGCCTGCAGTAGTCATGCAGTTAAGGCCATGTCACACTATTGCCTATCGTACTAGCGTATGCCCATATAGTAGCACGTACGGCGGGTTGTGAGCTAGACTTTAGGCATATGTTGTATATACGTTTCAAGCACGGGTGCTTACAGTGGCATGCGCTGGCACACGGCGTAACAGAATTTTTCTTTTAAACATGCCTGCGTATTGGGATGTTAGGCATATACGCTGAATATGCGAGAGTTATGCTAGCGGCAGGTTACTCATAGGTCAAGTACGCTGGCATAAAGGTGTACCGTACATCTTGGCGTATGTCTTGCGATGGAGTAACGTATCTAGTGCAGTGATTCTCAACCGGGTGTGCCACGAGATCTTCCTAAGTGTGGCGCGAAATTTTGAACGGCACTCTTTAAGAAAATTCGAAAAACCACGTGATCCCAATTGAATATTCACTGACATAGCTGTGTTTTTCTTTATTTAGTTTGATTCATTCTATGTCTGGTCTGTATTGTCTACGGTTTTATGTCGTCTATGATTTGCTTTTTAAATGAAATGAAATGGCTAGATGGTTAAGACGCCGGCTCGCTATACTCTGGAGGTCGGGTGTTCGATCCCTGCATTGGCCGAGAAAGTTCATCGGGATTTTCCGACGTGGTTTCCCCTTGTCAATGGTGCAGAACGGAGGGCCTGACAAGGACAGCTGTCTAGTCCTTCGGATGAGACAAAAAACCGAGGTCCCGTGTATACATTGGAATGCAAGTAAAAGATCCCTTGGCAGTTGGAATTCGATATAAGAGTAGGCGATAGTGCCGCTGCCCGGGCAAAATTTCCCTCATAGCACACTGTTTGGCGTATGCCCGTCTTCATTAGCCCAGTATAGAAGCAGAACAGTAGGACGTTGAACCCCATTTCATTTCATTTCATTTCATGAAAAAGCAAATCATAGACGGCATACAACAGTAGACAGTACACAGACTAGACATCTAGCCACCGTGGCTGTGTTCCAAGGTGTGCCGTTGGCAAAAATGGTTAAAAAACCAGGGTCTAGTGATAATGCTGCAATATAGAAAGGCCGCCGCTTATATGGACATCTAGCCATCGTGGCAGTGTTCCAGGGTGTGCCGTTGGCAAAAATGGTTGAGAACCATGGGTCTAGTGTTATAATGCTGCAATATAGAAAGGCCGTCGCTTATATGGATACTTTTATACGCTACTCATACGCTGGCCATACGCTACTCATACGCTACTCATAGGCCTCGTATAGGTTAAGTATTCGAACAATTCTGTATTTTCACGGACATTTGTGCGTTTATAATAATACAGTTATTGCAGAATCATATTTCTCATTTCAGTTAATTGTCCGTCCCATTTTACCGTACTTTCTTGGGTCAACATTACCAAGTGCATCAAGTTCTACAATTTGGCCTTAAACCTGACAAATTCAATTGAGACCTGTGGCCGTGAAAAAAGTCATTTACTAAAAGTGGATTCTGAATATGTAACTTTGATGATTAATAATTATATCGATTCGCGTAAGTATGGACGAGGTCATTACAAATTATTATAGCCACTGAGCTATAAAACCTAAACATAAATATCAAAAAACATAAACATCATATTATCTTACTAATCAATTTTAAAATGTTTAAATAGCACCACCAGTTCGACTTCATGAGCTAAGGAATATCTGTGACCATTGACTAAACAGGTCTGCCAAACTTGCTGTTGACTTACGAAGTTTTAGTTATTGTGTTTATATAAAGAATTTTACATAATGCGACATATATGGTTGAACCGGTTACTAATACAATTTTACATATAGAGCAGGAGCCCAGGGGGTTAACCTAGCTGAAAAGTGTACCAATTTTCTCCTACAGTATATGGTATCAATGTATGTATATCTGGTATCCTCAGAATGTAAGTCTGTCGGGTTTCTGGTGGTGGGTGGGGTATTCCACGCCCAAAATGCCATGCCCCCAACTAGTCTTTTCAGCTAGGTTGACCCCCTGGGCTCCCGGTCTAATAATGCGACATATTATATGGTTGGAACAGATTACTAATACATAGCCTTGCGAGGACCCTGCTTAGCAATGCAATCTCAGATTCACTTTTTTGATTTTTGTTTTCCAGCACCGAGTAGATGTTAAATATACATGTGCAACTACATGTATATGGCATAGGTCGCTGTGCAACGAAACATCTGTCCCTATGAGAGCGTTATCTAAAAGATTGTGAAAATTTGGTTATTCGGTGAAACCAGCCCAGCAAATTAATGGGCACTATTTCGAAATATAACAGGTATCACTTGGTTGATGGTTGGAGATTGAGGGACTTACACATACGTACTTTTTTCCAGATATAATTTCGGGAATGGGTATTCGAATTGGCTTGTACAGAATTGGTACAGAATTCAAATGGTTTGATGACACTAACTTGATTTATACCAATTGGAACCATGGAGAACCAAATACAATGTGGGAAGATACGGTGATGATAGGAAACATCGAAGCGCACAACTACAAGTGGTATGACGTAGGTTCTGCTCAAGCAATGTCATTTGTTTGCGAAACTTGATGCCAAGCCGACTGCTTGAGTTCACACGTAGTACGTAGTGTAGGGGTTGTTGCATTTGTTAAAATATACAAATGATGGGGTTATTTTAGATAATTGACTTTTTGACTATAGGCCAACATAACCTCAACAAAATGGAAACATGGACTGGATTTCGTCAGAACAACTAGTACGCTCAGCACCAGCATTGATGTCTGCACTTGCTCAACATGATGGTAAAATAATTCTGTTAACTTTGAGATTAAGCATGTCCCAATGAACAATCTCACCAAGATTATATAAATTCCGTTACGAAGAATACTGTCTAAATTTCGACAGGTCCTTTCCTTGAGTCCAAATACAAAATTTAGCCATACACACTCTTTAAAAGTAAAAAAAAAATAAGACAAGCAGATAAATTGGCAAAACGCGTTCGAAATTTACACTGCAAAACAAAAATTGGATTATCACTTATATTATTCTATTGAACAATACCTATGATTATCTATGATTAACGATGGTCATAGACAGCAGCTTAAACAAATTTGATAAAGGTTCTTAATGTCGTTATGATCTCTATACTATGTTTACATACTTGGAATAATCGGTTAAAAACTGTTGCCTCTATTGCATTCACGGAGTTTTCGGAAAATATGTGTTGACTCCGGTACAGAAGGTCGTGAAACACTGATTATCTGATGCTTGACCTCGATGCTTCACACCTAATGAGGAGTGTGGGTGGGGTGGGGGTGCATGGGGTCACGGAACACTGAATATCGATAGGGTTTATTCTCACATGACTTCAATGATTCAAACCTGATTTGAAACAAACCCATGAAAAAATGTAGCCCCCATCGTGTGCACAAGGTTTTGCTTCACCCCTGAAAAAATTTTAAAAAACCTACATGTATCGTATTTGTCGCGTTCAGAGGTTTAGGGCAATTGGCGGTAGCTCAAGAATATCGATGAACACGATGCTTAATACCAAATTTAAAAAAAAAATCCAATAAAAACAGTACAATCTATTGCGTTCACAATGCCTAAAACTAGTTGGAAAGGTGATTATGTTGATTTAAATAATGATAAAACATTACTTTCTAGTACAACACAACTCTAAATATAAGGGTATGAGGTGCAGAGGAGAGGTCTAAAATGTTTTTTGGGGACACAAGAGACGTGGGTCGAATATGGTCTTTTAAAAAAGGCGTTCTGCTATATTTGTCCCCCGCCTTTCGAAGAAAGCAGGGGACTATTAAAATGGGTTCGTCCGTCTGTCTGTCTGTCCGTCTGTCTGTCCGTCCGTCACACTTTTTGGGACACAATAACTCTCTTCCTAATTGAGCTAGAATGTTCAAACTTGGTGTATGTGTTGATTAGGTCAATGCCTTGATGGAGTTCGAAGATGAGCATTTTCCGCTTAGGGTAAGCAGAGATAAGCAATTTGATTGGTTGATGCTTTGGGACACGATAACTCTCTTCCTAATTGGGCTAGAATGTTCAAACTTGGTGTATGTGTTGATTAGGTCAATGCCTTGATGGAGTTCGAAGATGAGCATTTTCCGCTTAGGGTAAGCAGAGATAAGCAATTTGATTGGTTGATGCTTTGGGACACGATAACTTTTAATTGAGCTAGAATGTTCAAACTTGGTGTATGTGTTTATTAGGTCAATGCCTTGATTATTTTGATTCTATCTGATAGAGAGTGATGAAACTTAATGTATACTTAATAATCAGTTTGATTGCTGGATACTTTTGAAAAAGATAAACATGCAATTAATTAATATATGTCATCTATTTATTTCGGGATTTCAGCGGGGGACATCAGCCTCACTGTTGGCTTGTTTAAGTATACGATAAATAATGTCTTATTGTCCGATGATAAAACTATCATTACTGGGTACAAAAGTTGAAAAATTTATGTTTTCTACGTCTTTCACAACCTTTCCTAGAAACTGATTGCATTAAATCTTTTCTCATCAAGGGATTCACTTGAATTACCGAATTTCGTAATTTCTTTTTGTATTTAAATGATCCTGCAAAAATTTGGTATAACTATCAGCTTTCCATAAGGCAAAATGTAATTTCTTTAAAAATAAAAAAAATAAAAAAAATCGATGGGTTGCTTCCCATTAACATATAGGCATCGTGAAAACAATTTCCAGAAACATGTTACAATTTCCAGTTATCGCGCATGTAAAACCTGCTAGTGTGGTTCATTTTGGAAAAAATCCACAGATTAAAGATATATTATGGGAGATTAGATAATATAAAGGGAATTTGCTTAAAATTTCAGTTAAATTGATCCACCCTGAAACGAGAATTTAGCGATTGCAGGGCCGTAACTAGCTCAGAGCAACGGGGGGGGGGGGGGGGGGGGGGTTCTCGGGCGTGCTGTAATATTGATGGACAATGTATATCTATTTTTTTTATGGTCGAAAAAATTTTCACAGGGGGAGGGGGGGGGGGGGGTCCCAACGCACATAATAATGTAATATAAACTGGTTTACATTCAATCGTTTCTGTTTTTACTGTAATTTCTAATCCCTTATGTTCGGCGAAATACGTGAGAAGTCTCAATCGAATGGCAATCTCTAGCGTCTGGTTATTCCAGTCTACACCGATAGTATTTATTGCGCATGTTGTCCAGACAAGAATATGGCGTCACCGTTTGACATGACTTGTGGAATCCAGGGCATGTTTATTTTTTTAATGAATCAGACAGCAATGGCAAGCCAAGCGGAGACGTGCATTTTCCACTACAGCCACCCTTTATTTAAAATTGAAAAATCTTAATTAAGCATTGAAATAATATATGCACTATGTATCGTTAAAGTTCTTCTACAACTGTCGATGTCAATCGCAAGCGTTCAAAAACGCATTGTTTTTTATACGTCCACATTGTTCTTATTGTTCTTTTCAAAGAATAATTCATTTTTAATTTAAAGTAACTTCTTTTTTATTACAAAGGAAATATTTTTATTTAATTGACTGCGACGGAAACACTGGCTCAATAAAGGACTTTGCAATGGTTGAATTGCTGTCAAAATATGACGTATCACTACGCCATAATGTAATCAGGTTCAGTAAAAGTGAAATCTATAGCAACGAATTATATTTATTTGTGCATGTAAGAAAGGATTGGGTGATAAATAAAGTCTCCTACTCGTCTTTTTGATATCAAAAAAGACTGGTAGGAGATTCTCTTTTACTATAACATTTACGAAATTTTATAATTTAAAAGAATCCCTTGATCAGACAGGATTCAATACAATCTTTTTAGGAAAGGTTGTGAAAGATTTATTTTGAGATGTACAGTGCCTTAAAGTAATATTTTCAAACATACATAATGATCAACATTATCACATTTTCCGCCAACTTTAGGCATTGCACGTCCCCGCGCCCTAAGAACAAAAACACAACACCAAACCACCCCTTTGCAAAGCAAACGAGTTGTCCGTGGGCACTATTTCAAGAGATCTATAAGGTGATTATCAAAACCAATTTCGAACCACGTGGTTATTGTCCCCACAAATTACGTATAAACCCCTTACATATTTCCCGCTAAGGGGTATCATGTATACAGAGATGTCGTTACAGACAAATCCCACTCAAAGGTTATGTCAACCATGTTGAAGTAATGAACGTGAAATTAAGGAAAATGTTTTTGTTACATTGTAGGAAGAACGATAAACTGCGATCAAATTATCTGGATCCACTTTTCCATTCTTACCCTGTCATTTCACATTTCTTTGTATCTATGCTATATTCACCCCATATTGTAGCAGGCCCGCCACAGAAGTGTGTGGTTTTATATACCACTAAGGCATACATAATTTACCATATTGTTATTTCTATATTACTTCATTTTGTGTGTTTCTCTTTTACTATTGTTTTGTTCTATTTTGTTTTAATAATACGTATTCTGCTTTTAATGGGCGTATTGATGCAATAAAACCTTATCTTATCTCATATATTATCAAATTTTCCGTCAATTTCACCCTCCCTCACAAAGCAAAATAGTTGCCCACGGGCATTGTATACCCTTATTTAGAGAAGAAATAAATATCTTAATCCATGAGATGATCGCCATTTATATCAACATAAGCACATTTCGTCTGGAAAGCTGATTATCGATAAAATTCGTCCTTTCAAGACCTAAATGCTTCTCCCCAAATTTTTTATCCTCTGTCGCGTTCACAAAGTTATCGGCGGGTGTATCTCCGGGACGGAAATCGCAGAACGGTGACTATAGATAAAAAAAACCCATCGGCTGCCAGGCAGGATACGCCCACATTTTGCAGGAGATGGATAGAGAACAAGCTAAACAAAAAGCGATTTTTCGTACAATCAGGGGCCATAATTCAGGAAGTTACAATCCGATATGCGCAAATATCGACAGGAACCAAGATCTTTGGGTTATAAACTTATGTTTCAAGTTTCATCAAAATCAGAAAATCAGAAGAAAATTGTGACCTCTACAAGGTCCACAACATTCATATACCTTATTTTTGTGCAAGTTAAGTACGAGGGGCGGCCATTTTGTCTGTAAGTTTTGGTCCGATTTTAACGAAATTCGAATTCAACCATCCTTAGGGTGTAACGGTGATATGTTCAAACGGTTTTTGAAATTGGATATAAATTATAACCTCTTTTAGTAAATGCAGGGGGACTGCACCACACAAAACTTACACAAAAACAAATACACGGATAATACATCATCCTCAGGAAAACACAGACAGACAATTAAAAAAATATGAATGGATCCGGGGGCTAGCCGTAAGCGCCTACTGCGCTGTACAGTCCCCAGTCCCGGGTCTGTAGTGACACAGACTTCACTCAAAGTTGAAAACAATCAGGAATACAACCCAAAGAAACCATTGTGCAATGCCAGCATGAGTAATACGAATGTAAGCATATGTAGTAAAATTCAACTATACAAGTAACCATATCGATGAAATGTATAAAATAGTACCGGTAGTCTAAACCTAAATGCTCTAAAATCAATCAAGAAACGTTTCAGTATTCAATACATATAGGGCACATGTTTTCACGAAATTCGAACTCAACCACCCTTAGGGTGTAACGGTGATATACTAAAACGTTTTTTTTAAATCGGATAAAAATTATGACCTAAAAACGAGATTTTTCGTACAATTAGGGGCCATAATTCAGGAAGTTACGACCCGATATGCGCGAATATCGACAGGAACCGAGATCTTTGGGTTATAAACTTACATTTCAAATTTCAGGGTCAATAACCTGAATATGTTTATACCTGTTTATTTACGATGCATACAAATCAGATCATTCCAATGCCACTTTTTATTAAGAAATGGTGGATTGGTATATGGATAAATGTATTTTAAGCCTATTTGCTGATTTCCGGTTTTCGACACTTTTTTATACGCCAACATGTCGTATATTGTCGTCGCTCGATCCGTCAATTATGGTCATGAGACGAAGCATCCTATTGATTTTCAATGATTTCCGATAATGACTTCCAGAATTAGAAGCCAATCAAGTATGACAATTACTTAATGGGTTTTTTATTCGTAATTATATTTTAGTGTGTTGTGCATGTTTTCCTTACCGACAAGGGCCGGGGGTTCGATGGCCGAATAGTTAGCGCGTGCGCGTTGTATCATAAGGTCTGTCGTTGAGTCAACTGGCGTGGTTTCGATTCCCCGGTTGTACATTACAAGGTGTAGGGTAGCCTATCCAAGCTCGTGGGTTTTCTCCGGGTCCTCCGGTTTCCTGCCACTGCTAAGGACCCCTACGCGCAAGCGAATTTTTGAAATAAAATTGAACCATGTGAGTCCCGAAATGACCTAGTTTGTGTCGAGTAGATGTTAAACCCCATTTCTCTCTCTCCTTCCCGGCAAAAGAAATAAATATACGACACCCCTTGTTGACTGCACGGACGACTTAGCTGCTGTGGGCGTATGTTTCGTTGCCTGGCAATCTATCTTTAAAATCCACAACAGGCCAGTGAATAATGTAATATCAATTTGATGTGAATGGGGTATGCTGCATTGACTGGAATACATTTTACATTCACGAATTGTCAGCCACAGAACAAGCTAACCATGTGCAAAAAAAATAGCATGTGCGATGATGTAGGAAAGTTATTTTACAAGATTACAATTATCTCAAACATGACCAAACAGAAATTTTTCCCAGTTCGCTAGGTTTTGTGTATTTGTTCCTTATACTGTTGGTTGCGTTTTCTATCTAAGGATACTATTTCACAATATAAATTGAAAAAATATTTATTTATTGTTTTAACTACATGTGTTTATCTTTTTTAATTCATACTGTGTTTCTTGTTATTTCTAATACAGTGCACGCACGAAAATGCGTGGTCTGTTTTCACAATCACCGGGTTAGTATGTTGGGCCCGTTGGGGTGTTCATTTATATGAACCTTTCCTTAAATGATCACCTGTGCACGTGCTAAAACAACACATTACAGGTTGATCAGTATCTTGAACACCCGAGTCAGAACAAAGGGTCCAGTGTGTAAGTGTAAATATCACATACTATATCAAATGAATTGTATGTTTATGTAATTTCTAAGTTTACTTTGATTTAGAGTTATGTCTTATTGTATTGAATGTATAAAAGCTTTTTAGTTCACTTAATGTAGTGTGTCACAAATTACTCGAGGCATGACTTTTAATCGACAGCAGAATAAAAAAATGAATGTTCGCAGAAATAAAAGGGTACTTTGAATGGTATTGAAGGAGCGCCCATACCATTTCATTTGGTATTCGATGGATGTATGCAACCGCCCTGTAAAAGCTACATGTGGAGACCTTCGGGTTTATGTTACCCCCCCCCCCCCAAAAAAAAAAACAACAAACCCTGATTAAACTCGTGTGTTTCAATTTATTTTTTATTTCATATTTTACCGGATTTAAATTCTACTTTTATCAATGTACTGTAAATAACCAATGAAAACATAGCTTCTCTAGTCAGGCATCTATGCACACTGATCAGAAGTGAATTTTCGCTATAGGCCGCTACAATCACTGATAAGGATGACATCGATGCGACTTAAAGGACAATATTGGTGCCAGTCATTTTCACATATGTGATAGAGCTGGTTAAACACATTCCAAGTATAATTTTATGTCAGAGATCATTGCTACGATAGCTGAGTAATACAGTTTTTCTGAATCGGAAGTGACGAACGCCAAAGGAAAACACCTCTATATAACTGACTGATGTGACTAATGATACGGGCGAATTTCTGCTCACTAATAATTCCCCGATCCTGCTCATTTTTGGTGAACACATGCCCACGGACCCCCATTGACCCACCGCCAAATCGCATGGACCTATTGCCC